CAGCAGCACCTGCAGCTCCTCAGCCAAACAACCCGCACCCCATGCCTGGGCGTTCATCACCGAGGAGCTCCGCCGGGGCAGCTCGGGCCTCTTTTGCGGGCGCGGGCGCGGGACCCTCAAAGGGTAGCAATGGCCAATTCGGTCCAAGGGGATATGGCTCTGGTAAATGGAACCAAGGACTAAAACCTGCGGTCCCTGGTGGTTTCATTTTGACCCATACCCATTTTGACCTCACAACTGCCCAAGGCGCCTCCGTTCCCGAAGGAACGAGTTTGAAAGTGGGCAGTTTCTCTTTCAACAAGTCGCGACCTGAGCGGCCAAGAAACGCACCAAATGCTCGCGCGTGCGCAAAAGCTAGAAAGCTATCAAATGGTCCATCCGGACGCGCTCAAACAAACGAGCCGTTCAGGACCCCGGCAAGAGAAACAACCAGGCGAGGCCAGGTACAAGCATATCTCCACGGAATTGGTTTACTGTTGATTCCAAACTGAGATGAAGTGAGTGAATGATATCAAAAAACATCACAAAAGAAAGAATAGGACAGCATGATTCACGCCAGTTTGGACCCTGGCACTACGAAGCCACAGCCATGACGAATGCCCCATCTCCCTTTATCCAATTAACTGCAAACATTAAAAGATGCGGATGGTACCCTTTCCTTCTTCCATCCGGATCAGCTCTTGAAGACAGATATTACAGTGAAGAAAGGAATGATAAGATAGAAATAAATGAAAAGATCCGCATAAAAAGATCAGATTTGGACAAGTTCAATTAAAGAGTCAAGTGCATTCATAGTCTTTCCTCCGCACGCTTGAAGAGAGGATAGATATCTTCATATTAAATGTTTGGCTGAATTATTTGTTCATTCTCCTTCCTCAACCTCAATCATGACTTGAACGAGGCTGGGAGAGAGAGTCTGGGAGAATGAAAGGGAAGGAGAGGCTGTCCTCTCCATCAATTCCGCTCGCAGCCTCATTAGACCTTCCTACTTGTCTGGAGCAATTTGGAGATGCAAGACTGCGGAATATACTATCGGTCCTTCAGCGCATCTTCCCCCAGAGCATACTATCAGCCCTTCATTCTTCGACCTGACAAAGAACCCGCGCTCAACTGGGCTGGTCTAACTTTTAGTGGGTTAAATGGAATTTCCAAACACTAAACACTAAGAAGCCGAAAAAAGCTAAGGAACCACTTTTTTGCGGGTAAAATGGAAACCAAACACCAAACACTAAGAAGCCGAAAAAAGCTAAGGAACCACTTTTTGCGGGTTAAATGGAAACCAAACACTAAACACTAAGACGTTTTGCAATGGAAACCAAACACTAAACACTAAGAAGCCAAAAAAAAACTAAGAAACCACTTTTTGCGGGTTAAATGAAAACCAAACACTAAACACTAAGAAGCCGGAAAAAGCTAAGGAACCACCTTTTGCGGGTTAAATGGAAACCAAACACTAAACACTAAGAAGCCGGAAAAAGCTAAGGAACCACTTCTTGCGGGTTCAATGGAAACCAAACACCAAACACTAAGAAGCCGAAAAAAGCTAAGGAACCACTTTTTGCGGTTAAATGGAATTTCCAAACACCAAACAAAACGAAGCCGAAAAAAGTTAAGGAACCACTTTTTAAATGGAAACCAAACACTAAACACCAAAAAGAAAAAAAAACAAGCTACGGAACCACTTTTTGCGGGTTAAATGGAATTTCCAAACACTAAACACTAAGAAGCCGAAAAAAAAGCTAAGGAACCACTTTTTGCGGGTTAAATGGAAACCAAACACTAAACACTAAGACTTTTTGCAATGGAAACCAAACACTAAACACTAAGAAGCCAAAAAAAACTAAGAAACCACTTTTTGTGGGTTAAATGAAAACCAAACACTAAACACTAAGAAGCCGGAAAAAGCTAAGGAACCACTTTTTGCGGGTTAAATGGAAACCAAACACTAAACACTAAGAAGCCGGAAAAAGCTAAGGAACCACTTCTTGCGGGTTCAATGGAAACCAAACACTAAACACTAAGAAGCCGAAAAAAGCTAAGGAACCACTTTTTGCGGGTTAAATGGAATTTCCAAACACTAAACACTAAGAAGCCGAAAAAAGCTAAGGAACCACTAAATGGAAGCTACGGAACCACTTTTTGCGGGTTAAATGGAATTTCCAAACACTAAACACTAAGAAGCCGAAAAAAGCTAAGGAACCACTTTTTTGCGGGTTAAATGGAATTTCCAAACACTAAACACTAAGAAGCCGAAAAAAGCTAAGGAACCGCTTTTTTGCGGGTTAAATGGAATTTCCAACCACTAAACACCAAAAAGCCCCAAAAAGCTAAGGAACCGCTTTTTTGCGGGTTAAATGGAATTTCCAAACACTAAACACTAAGAAGCCGAAAAAAGCTAAGGAACCGCTTTTTTGCGGGTTAAATGGAATTTCCAACCACTAAACACCAAAAAGCCCCAAAAAGCTAAGGAACCGCTTTTTTGCGGGTTAAATGGAATTTCCAAACACTAAACACTAAGAAGCCGAAAAAAGCTAAGGAACCGCTTTTTTGCGGGTTAAATGGAATTTCCAACCACTAAACACCAAAAAGCCCCAAAAAGCTAAGGAACCAGACGGGTCGATGGCTGGCAGCCGCTCCAACTTCTTTGAGCTTCTTTTTGGCCGTCCTTCCCTTCCGTGGCTTCGGGCGAGGGCTGAGGCGTTCGGTTCGGCGCCGGGGAGGAAGCCGCCGAGGCGCCCCCTTGGGCCTTGTCCTGGCGCCAAAAACAGAAGCCGAGCTGGGGGGGATAGTTCCCTAGAGTCCCATGTTTGGCCTTCAAAATAGTAATCACTAATGTTTGGTCAAAAATAATACCCTCCCTCCCACATGGCACCTGACAGGGGGTCCCTTCACGAGATTCATCTTCCGGATACCTCCCCATAGCTGCCAGGTTAGTGGGAGGGAGGGTAATCCTCTGGTCAAACAGGGCTCCCCATATTTCCCCTTAAAATATCACCCTAGGGACACTCGCCTTTCATGGGTGTACTTTTTTGACAGCACCACACCAAAAACCACACGCCCCAGCTGTTTTTTCCCCCGGCTTCGCGCCTGGCCTCCGTTTAGACCCCCAAACGGCAAAAGAACACTCACCCGGTGTGCCCAGCCAAGGAGCCTCAAGACTCGGGCCGTTTCGGGGTAGACCAAAAGTTGGTCATGTTTTTTTGGGGGTAAGCCAGCAAATACGGCTCGTAGTTTGGTTGAACCATGGTACTCGACAAAATCACACTTGACATCTCCACGTCTCTCTTATCTCTCTCACGCCCCTGGCTCCCCCACGCAACATCTGCTTTCCCCGAAAGAAAACTAGGGGACTCAAACGCACCCATTGGCTCCCAGCTGAGGACTCTGACGAGCCACCTGTGTTTTGGTCAACTTGGGGTCCAATGCAACCAGCTACAGGAAACTCAGGAAGTTGGCCGCAACATTCCCCAACATCACCTGAAGGTTAAGATGGATCCTTTCGGGTTGATTCTTCTCTGGGGCCAGCAACTTATAGGGGTTGGCTGGCCAAATGCGATCGTATTTGGGTGAGTCTTTGGCTGCTTGAGATGCTGAGGACGGGTCTTGGGGTTCATGGCTCCGCAAAGTGCTGCTATCCAGGCTGCTACTGGGCAGATGTGTGCCAGGTGTGCGGCTGGTTTAGCAGGTGGCCTTCGGGATGCATCAAGGTGGGGCCGGTCTGGTTGGTGATTGGTACTTGCCAAAAATAACTTGGCCGCGCTCTAAAGCAACCCGAAAGCCACTGGCTCACCCAGCACAAATCAGCTCCATGCAACCCACCCACCCAAAGGAAACCAATACCCAACGAACACCGAACACCAAGCAACCAAGCAACCAAGCAACCAAGCAACCAAGCAACCAAGCAACCAAGCAACCAAGCAACCAAGCAACCAAGCAACCAAGCAACCAAGCAACCAAGCAACCAAGCAACCAAGCAACCAACCAACCAACCAACCAACCAACCAACCAACCAACCAACCAACCAACCAACCAACCAACCAACCAACCAACCAACCAAGCAACCATACAACGAAACAAAACTGATCCGTTAGCCAAACACTGACCAAAACAGGTGGCGTTGCACAAAAAAATCTGTAGAACTGCATGAGGCTGGTTTCTAGATGACCCAGGAACCCCAAAACTAATTAACATGTTGAGAGGAATTTCCTCTTGAGCGCGTTGAGGATTCCGTCTGCAGCTTTCCGCCCCAACCACTAAGCGAAGGGGCAAGCCCATGCAAAGTGCTCCTTTTTCGGAGGAGTTTGGCATACCTCGAGGAAAGCGGCACAAATACCTGGGCCAGGTTTCGTCATGCATTCGGGGGGCCTCTCTCTTGGAAGTTCTTAGGCGCCTTTTGCGCTTTCGCCCAAGCGACAGCACACGAAGGAAAGAACACGCGGACGACACGAACGTTGGAGATCCTTCACGCCCTGGTGAGTGCCGCTGTAGATTGCAGCACGCTCCTGCAGACTGTCTCGCCTGTCTGGTTAACTGCTCTTCAACCAGGCTGACCTCAAAGGACACAACTTGATCCCAGTTGTCAATACAAAGATCGATCCCTTTGGCGTTTTGGGTAGCCTTTCCAGGGTTGCCCCTCCCACATTTATGTAAATTACGTTTGTCCGGCCAAGATCATCCCTCTCCATCCTGCTTCAATGGCCTATCCTCCGGTTTTCAGGTAGATGGCTGTGAGTCGAAATTCGGCACCAGGGTGTCCTTTTTGAAGGCTCGGTCATCCTATCAGCCAACCCTTGCCCCCCTACCTCAACCGCAGAAAGAAAAACCGGTGCTCAGCAAGTAACCGGCTGAATGAACTGCTCATCTCCAAGACTTTCGACATCTCTTTTGTCCTCTGCATTGCAAGCTGCCTTAGGAGCAGCTTTGGTCAGCTGGAATGCTCACGCCAGCCGCCTCATGCCGTTGGAACCCTCTGGTCGCGTCGCTTCTTTCCGACTCGGCGCTCACTTCGGAGGTGTGGCGCTTCGAGGCAAGAGATCAAAATCGCTTCGGCACTGCCTGCCTTGAGCAATGCGATCTCCCACCCTGCCTAGGTTGCAACAGCTCGTGTGAAAGCTGAATGGAAAAAAAAGAAGAAAAAAGGGGAATCCAACAAAAAAACAGGCCCCTCCATTTTGAGAGAATCCAAAAATGGTTGTGAAAAACAGAGTGGTTTAATCATGTTTAAGCAAGCTGGCCCAACCCTAGTGACAGAAGCAAGGCCTGTGCTGAGCGTTCTCGCAGGCGCATGCTGAACAGAAAAACACTTAAAGTGTTTTTTGAGCTTTCCGGCAAGCTGCAAAAGTTGTGCAAGCAGAAGTGCACCATGCAGCTGTAGGAGCCGCGTGCACAGTGGTAAGCGCTCACCCGGTCCAACACGCCCTCCTTCTGCAGAGGAGCTTCCCGCTGTGCGGCAACCTTCCGCTTCTCGATCTCAAACGCCAGGTCCTCCTCTTGGTTGCAGAACCCGAGTCGGTCCCCGAACGGAAAACGAGAAAAGGGTGTTTCGACCATGGCGGGGTAAAACCAGGGGAAGGGAAGGCGTCACATGTCTGGCCTGCGAAAACTGCCAAAGCGTTGCCGGCCACGACGCAGGGACAAATCTGCCCAGCCAGGAGTCGTGTTCAAACAAATGCTGGATAACAAGGGCATTGTAAGCTAACTTATGCGGCAAATAGCGCAGCAGACTTGAGAGCCAAAAACACCATGGTACAATCTGGTGTCAAGCAAAGGGACTGGGAATGAGTCACCGGGCTTCTGCGGTTTCGCCCGGTCGGCTCAACCCCGAGTCGTTGGCCCTTCCGCCAGGCCTCCTGAAAGACGGTGCTCAGCCTGGGCGCTTCGCTTTTTTCCCCGGCCAGGAAGAACCTCCGCAACGATCGCCTGGTTTTCTACGCCCCCCATGACCCAAAATCCGCCGCCAGCCCAACTTAGCCAACCACTTCAACCCTCCAAACCAACGAACTGGAACCAGCCCAGCGAAGGCTTGAATGTGTCAGGGCTCAACAAAGCCCCTGGGAAAGGCGAGTCCACGGAACCCAAGCGCCACTCTCATACCGTTTTGAGGTCCGACGTCTCGCGTCGGCCCAATCCTAACATGGGACCTTCCTGGATGCGTTTCGAAGGGAAACCGTTCAGGAAACCTGCCGTTGTTCTACAGGTCGATCCCCGTTCGCTGCGCCCATCGACCTTTTGAAGAAAAAAAAATGCCGCGGCCTTTCTCTTAGAAAAAAAGAAGCCTTCAAAGAATGGGGGAAGCACAGTTGGACTTTGTAAGGAGTCCCTCTGAAAAATGGGGGCCACCCCCTTGTTAAGCAACCAGGTGATTCCCATGTTTGTAAACCTCGCATACACTGCAGGCTACCCAGCTCTTGAGACTAATGGGAACTGCTCTTCATGGATCAAAACAATTCAGATGGGTGACTTCCAAGGATTTGTCGACCCGTTGTTGTAAACCACGATTGCTTAAGCAGTCTCCTTGTGTCTGCCTTCAAAGGGGCATCTGGCGTCTACTTGTTTCAATAAAAATGAGGAGGGGTTGAGAATCGGAACCCTCAAGTTTTACAAAGGGACATCGAAAGCAAGACCAAAGCCATGCAACCATAGGTGTCCTTTTAGGGCAAGTAGATGGCCCTGGTAGATGATTAAACCACCAGGTAAACCAGGAATCGCCATCTATTTTTCGACCGAAACAACCAAAAAGGACACCAAACCCACGCAACCAATCCTATCTCAGTCTCCGAGCGACGCCTGACCCTGGAGCTTAAGGGTCTTCAGCGGTTCTTGCGCGCACGCAGCCTCTTCAACGGCCATCACCGCAGAGTAGTTGTTCCTGAGCAAAAGACTTGCGCAGGATAACCCTGAAGAGTGCGTCTGAGTGATAGGTCTCCCTTTGAGTCCAAGTTGAAAAGAAAGGACACTCCTTTTGGGTCCTTTTGAGTCATAGGTGTTCTTTTCAGCCCATCTGGTTGAAAAGGAAGGACGCTCCTTTCGAGTTCCTTGGTTGGAGTTGAGAGAAAAGGTTGCCTACTCCAAACCAACAGTAGACCGGAATAATTTGGACAGCTATGTTCAGCCCTCTCGCTGGGACAAGCCCAAGTGCTCTCAAGCGCTATTTCGGGACACGGCTCAGTAGCAGCTCCTTGTTTGGCAGATCCAGGAACCCGCTCAGTGAACCTAAGAAGCAAAGCAAAGCTGACGGCCCCATGACATCTGGGAAAGCTACTGCACACTGACTCGAGGAGCAATACTCCGCGTCCCAAACGAAGACGCCGTCGAGTGTCTTGATCGCGGGGTCGCTGTAGGCGGGGTCCCCCGCCAAAGCGGTGAAGCCCGCAGCCCAGGTTTGGCTCCACCAGGAGAAGTTCCTGGATATCGAATGTCAAGAGGCCCAGTGGAAACAAGACCTCCATGTGGCTGGTGTTCAAGGGAAACCAACAGGAAAACCAACAGGATGCTGAGCCGCAGGCCGTTTGAATGGACTGAGAAATGCTTGATCAAACCTGCAGGGGCAGGTTTAAAGATCCACAACGTCATATAGCGGCTCGGCAGAAAACAATGGAGGTCCCTATCCCTTGAGATTGATTCCCGACTCAGCCGACGAAAGCGGTTCACGGCCGAAGGTCTGGCTTTGGTGGAAACTAGGGAACATGGAGCCATGTTGGAGCAAATCAGGCCACTTGTGAGGGAAGCCGGATCCTCAACCCTATCAACTCTGGGGTCATGATCGACCTCTCTCTCTCTCTCAATTTGGCCACCGGAGTTCACATTCTCCGAAAGATCCTTGGAATGAAAACAATTGGCGGATCCTAGGCCGGAGCGAGGCTGTTGTCTCGTGAAATTTGCGCTATCTCGTGGACCTCTTTGGATGCCCATGGCGTAAGGAATCCTCAAGGGGCCTCGGGGGAAACAAAAAAATACGGTGGAATCGCTCGCAAGAAATGGCCAACCAGAACCCTTCCCGAACCTTTTCTCAGAGCTCGCCCCAGAACCCCTTCCCGAACCCTTCAAAATATGCAACAATCGCTCAGGAGCATCCAGCAAACTTCCAAGCGGAACCCCCTCAACCATCCAAAACCCAACACGGAACCCCAACCCTTCCGTCCCGAACCTCCGAGAAAAAAAAAAGGAAACACGGGAAAGAAGAAGAAAAGCAGAAAAAGGACGAAGAGGACAAAAGAGGAAGAAGAGAAAAGAGCGAAGAAGAAAAAGCAAAAAACGGCCCCGAGAAAACGGCCCCGAGAAAACGGCGCCCAGAGGACCCGCCTCGCGGCATGGGAGGCGTCGCAGCCCCACAACTGCGAAAGGGCTCCCTCACCGAAGGCCCAGTACCTGAGCTCCAGCCCCCGAAAACCCGGTGGTGGGTTTCCCTTACAAACGTGAGCGTGAAAAAATGGGCGACCCTCAAAAAACAGGAGATACAGGGTTCGGGCCAGCTGCTCGAGCAAAACACCGTGGTTTAAGTAACCTTCGGCTCAATCCCCCTTCAAGCGGCCATGCCTTTGCTTGACCCCGAACATGGTACAGGTGCCCTTGTCCCTTCCGACCAAAGTAGCTCCCTCCAAAAACTACGGCCTCCAAAAAGCGACCAAAAAAAAGCGACATTGAACCACGCCCTGCAAAAACCTGCCGAACTCCAGCGCCGGGCTCTGCGCATCTGCCGTTTGCTCGGGCCGCAGGATTGGAGGCGTGTCCAGGTGCAAGCCGCTCTGCAGCAGCACCATGCCCATTGCCATGTCGTGGAACAACATGGCGCCGCTTGCGTCAGGGCCTAGCCCAAAATGGAAGGAAGTTCGATGGCAAGGCTTGAGCCCAAGCACGTGTGCCGCCAGAACTTGCTCACCCCTTGAGTCAATTAGAAAGTTCTCCGGGGTTTGAAGCTTAAAAAATCGAGCTGACAAAGCAGCAAAGGATAACTCGACAGCCGCAGCACTTCTCAGATCTGTGTCAAAGAGAACACACACACACACTCACATGATTAGCGAATTCTGCCGATATCTTGGGAGGGTGTTCCAACTTTTAATACTCATGACAGCTCCTGAAACAGAGGGAAGCCGGAAAGAGTCACCTCTCAAACCTTTCACGGACCCAGCCGTTCGGCTTGTCTTTGGGCAGAATCAACTAGCTTTGCACCAAAATGGCTGGAGCTTGCGTGCAACGCACGCCGTTGCTTGGCCAAGGGGCAATCCTAGCCAGCCCTCCCTTAGCACCTCACAGCAGGAAGCTTGGCTCGGCAACATCCCAATACTGCCCGGCAAAGCAGAAAGCCACTCTTCCAACCCATTCACTCTCAGCATGGCCGGGATCCTGCTTGCTTCCGACACTTTCACCCCTCCGAGTTGCATGCTGCCTTAGGCGCGGCTTTTGTAAGCTGGAATGCCTAGCACAGCCGCCTCATGCGGGTCAAACCCCTCTGGTCGCGATATGTCGTGTCCAAGTTGGAACAGTTCGACCAGCACGTCAGCGGAGGAGGTTTGGCGCTTCTAGGCAGGAGTTCGAAATCGCAAGATTAGTCTTGGGCAGAACCAACCAGCTTGACATATGCCAACATGGCTGCATGCCAATCACGCTGTCTGGGAAATTCCAGAACATAAGTTCAGAAACCCCGCTGCTCGAACTGTTTGCGGGCAGTCTAGGTCAGCCAACCCTCCCTTGGCATCTGCCAACCAATTGACTCTCGGCATTCCTTTCGACATCTTGTTCGCCCTCCTCGCGATTGCAAGCTGCCTTAGGCGCAGCTTTGGTCAGCTGGACTGCTGACGACAGCCGCCTCATGCGGTTGGAACCGCTCTGGTCGCGTCCAAATTGGAGAAGTGGGGCGTCTTTCCGACTCGGCGCTCACTTCGGAGGTGTGACGCTTCTGGGCAAGAGGCCGAAATCGCTTCGGCACTGCCTGCCTTGAGCAATGCGATCTCCCACCCTGCCTAGGTTGCAACAGCTTGTGTGAAAGCTGAATGAAAAAAACAAAAAAACAGGCCCCTCCATTTTGAGGGAATCCAAAAGAGGTTGTCAACAAAAAGTGGTTAAGCACGTTTAAGCAAGCTGACTTAACCATAGCGACAGAAAAAGAAAGACCTGTGCTGGGTGTTCTCATGGGCACATGCTGACAGAAAAACACTGAAAGAGCTTTGTGAGCTTTCCGGCAAGCTGCAAAAGTTGTGCAAGCAGAAGTGCACCATGCAGCTGTAGGAGCCGCGTGCACAGTGGTAAGCGCTCACCCGGTCCAACACGCCCTCCTTCTGCAGAGGAGCTTCCCGCTGTGCGGGAGGCTTCTGCCTCTGGATCTCAAAAGCCAGGTCCACCTCTTGCGACGCTCGGATCCAAAAAGGGTTGGTTGCAAAAGCCGATTCGGTCCGGCTGTTTAAGTGATGGCGAGTTAAACTAGGGGAAGGCTTCACAGGTTCTAGCCTGCAAAGACTTCCCAGGGGAAAAACTGCCCAGCAGCCATCGGAGTTTTGCACAAATTATGCAGCAAATGATGGTACAATCTAGTATCAAGCAAAGGGGACGGGAATTCGGAATGGGTTATACTTTACCGAAACTGGCTAAGCAAAAAAATGCCCTTCCAGGAACCCGAATCACTTGTTTGCCCCTGCGCTCTTTGTGGAATGCTCCAAGAAACCCGAGCCAGGCCTCCTCAAACACCGCGCTCAGCCTGGGCGCAGGTTTTTTCAACATCCGCAACATCGCCTGCTTTCTGATCGCCACTCTCAGACCGTTTGGAGGGCCGACGAGTGGCTTCGGCCCGAATCCTAAAGTGGGAGCTTTCTGCATGCGTTTCGAAGGGAAACCGCCGCTCAGGAAACCTGCCATTTTGGTCAAGGTTGATCCCCGTTCGCTTCGCACATCGTCCTTTTGACAAATTCGCCGTGTGTTCAACTTTCTCTGAGAGAAAAGAATCCCTGACAAGAATGGGGGAAGCACATAAGGAATGCAACCAACACTACCCCAGTGAACATCTCCGAGCAGCGGCAGACCCTGGAGCTTGAGGGTCTTCAGCGGTTCTTGCGCGCACGCAGCCTCTTCAACTGCCATCACCGCAGAGTAGTTGTTCCTGAGCAAAAGGCTTGCGACAGGACAATCCTTTTGAATCTGTTTGAGTGATAGGTCTCCCTTTGAGTCTGTGTTGAAAAGAAAGGACACTCCTTTTGAGTCCTTTTGAGTCACTGCTCTTTTCAGCCCATCTGGTTGAAAAGAAAGAGTCATTGGTATCCTTCTGGGTCCGTGAAGAAGAAAGAACACTCCTTTTGAGTCCTGAGACATAGGTGTCCTTTTGAGTCCGTCTGGTTGAAAAGAAAGGACTCCTTTTTGAGTCCTTTTGAGTCATAGGTGCCCTTTTGAGTCCCGCCTGGTGTCCTCTTGAGTCCGTCTGGATAAACGAAACAACGCTTCTTTTGCGTCAGCCCGCTTCATTCAGTGCCATCTTGGCTAAAATTTGACACCTATTGCGTCCTAACTGGGCTGTCCTCAGATCCCCTAGTGAACTCAACCGCCGAAGCTAAAGGAACCGGATGGCATTGGACAAGGCTCAGTAGCGCCTTTGGCAGATCGAGGAATCCGCCCAGCGAACCTGAGCAAGCACAGCGAACAGCCGCATTGCCGGCTGTGACAGCTGCTCTCCAAGCCTCCAACAAACCCTCGTTGGACGAGCCTTCAGGCCCCCTCTCCCCAAACAAAGCAGTGCCGTGTTGATCTGCAGGGAGGGGTGAATCACACGGTGAGCCCGTTTTGCGCCTCGAATCGGGGAGCTCGTTCATCCCAAGTCCTTTTGGGATGTTTGGAGGCGCATCGGGCCATGCTGCAGGTGCATTGAGAGCAGGCCTTCGCAGAACTCGCAGCACACCCCGGGACCCTCCATGTGATAAGACATGTAAAGTCAAAAATGATTCTCTTGCGTGCAAGATGTGATTTGCTCAAGTCCTTCCGCTGTAGAGTTTGCTGCTGCAGTGTTGTCGCCAATCAAACCGTGGGTTCAAAATGGGATACACACCATTTCGAAGGTGTTCCCATGTGTTCCCACCCAAATTCATACCAATTTTCTGCCATGGCCTTTTGCAAATCGAGGAGCAGTACTCCGCGTCCCAAACGAAGACGCCATCGACCGTCTTGATCGCGGGGTCGGTGTAGGCGGGCTCCCCCGCCAAAGCGGTGAAGCCCGCTGCCCAGGTTTGGCTCCACCAGGAGAAGTTCCTGGAAATCGAATGTCAAAAAACGTGGAAATTCAAGGGAAAGCAACAGGAAAACCAACATGTTGGAGAGGTCCACTAAAACAAGACACCCATGTCAATCAAGCTACGCTGCTTCAAGCACGTGGGAATCTTGGTGAGCCCCTTCGCTGGAAATTCAAGTTACCGGACCTCATGTGGGAGCTTGTGCTAGACTCGCAGCGGAAGCAACATGCTATCGCCTATCAGCGACAATTCAACATGGCCAATCACCTCAGCCCCTCCAGCGTGCATTTCCTTTCAAAGCAAAAGGCGTTGCTTTCAGAATCGGCATTGGCGCTTAAAATTGAGAGAGTGCAAACACTTGCACCTTGCAACTGTTGTGTGTTAGTCTAGGCTGGGCTGGAAGTGTCAAACAACTCTGTTGCTAGGTCGGCAAGTGTGGGTGCGGGGGTGCCTTGGTTGGCAGGCGGGGGGAGAGGGGGATTGCCCAGGTCGGCAACGGGGGGTGATCAGCATGTGTTGCATCCCTGCAACATGCCAGTGTGTCCTATTTGGCCTGGTTAGTGTTGATTCCGTGGGTGTTCTGAATGCCGTGTGTTGGCATGTTGGGCCCGACTTGTTTTGGCAACTGGGCAATTGGGCAAATGTGCATCGCAGAAGGTATCAAATAGCGTCCTCAACAACACTCCTGCGACACCTGGGTTGAGGGCACCCTTCTCGCCTTGGCTTAGAAGGAAACCCACAAACCACCATGTTGCAAATCGCAAATCCGGGACCCGAGCTTGACACAAAGCCATCTGTGCGGAAGCCATGTTGGAGGCATGGGAACACGACTCTGTTGCACGTTTGGGAATGTGCAAAAGTCTTTCCCTGTGGACGGGAATGGTACTATGTTGGACGGGAATGGTACTATATTGGAGGGGAAGATGCGCTTCCCCTGTGTTGTCAACTTCATCTTCCCAGTCCGGGGGGTGTTCGAAGTTCTGCAGAGCTGGCTTGCTAAAGTTCTCCAGAGAGCATGTGGCATTCTCGTGGGTGTCGGAGTTGAGTGGTTGCTGGTGAAATGTGTGAAAGGAAAAAACTGAAACCCGAAAGAGCAAATGGTAACAGGGCAGAGGTTTCTTACACTCCGGCAAACAAATTTGTCTGCAACTTTTCCATGTGAACATCTGCATCGCCAACTCCGGCTTCCCTTGATTTGCCGCAGCATCAACTTGAGAGTGTGGAAAACAACATGTACCATGCCCCAGTACCTGAGCAACAGCTTGCGAATAATGTTGGGGTCTGCAAGAAGTTCTTGTCTTCTTTTCTCATTGCTTCGATCTCTGTTGCTTTGATGCGCCGGTGGCTGGCACAGCTGGCACAGCGGTCCCTTGGTCGTTTTGTACCGGACACACTGGGTCCAAGCTGACATCCTCAAAATCACCCTCATAGCTCATGGCGCTGTGTGTTTGCTTTCCTGACAAAAAAATGGTGGTTCTGTTTGCTTTTCCCGCGGCAAGACCCCCAAAAAACATGATTTTTTTTTTTTTTTAAAAAAAAAAAAAAAAAAAAAAAAAAAAAAAAAAAAAAAAAAAAAAAAAAAAAAAAAAAAAACATGGTGGTTCTGTGTGCTTTTCCCGCGGCAAGACCCAACAAAAAAAGGCCAAACAAAATCGGAGAAGCCCAAATCGCACACCGCTCGGCGGCAAAACGCATCGATTCCCAGCAAAAACCGCCCGGCCGCGGCGCCTGTCCCGGTGAGACGCATCGCAGCCCCAGCTCTGCGACTCGGCGCCGGGGCCAAAGGCCCAGTACCTCAGCGACCGCCGGGGCCCGAGACCAGCGACCCGTGGGGATGACTTAGATGGTCGAGTTAGCCAAGTGGTTCGTAACCTTGGTTTAAGGGGACTTACAGCCATGCTGAGTGGGTTGCAACCAGGGCTACTAACCACTTAGCTAACTCCCAGACCATCTAAGTATGGAAAGTAAGTAGATCAAAATCGGGAAATCCAGGAAACATTGCATCGCGGTACTGTTCGTTTCCATTCAAAGGTGCAAAAGTTGAAAAACAAGGTGAAGAGTTTAGCCTCCAAACACACACACACACACACAGAGTGTGGGCCAACTTCTTGTTTACGTGTTTAAAAACCACCATCGTTGGTGGTGTCTAAGGGTGTGCAAAACATTCCCTCCCAAACGGAGATGTCCCTTACAGCCAAGAGCAGCTCAGAAAGGCACAACAAAAAACATCCTACCAAAATGACCAAAAGTACCCACCCCACCCCACCCCACAGGTTCCCTGCAGAAAAGAGAACAAACACACACACAAAAAAAAAAGAAGAGCACCACCTCGGCGAGTTTCTGAGCATCCGCCATCTGGTCGGGCCGCAGAACCGGCTGAGTTTCCAGGCGCATGCCCCGCTGCAGCAGCATCATGCCCATGGCCGCCTCGTACCACGGCATGGTCTCGCTGGGGTCGCTGGGAGCGAAATGGACGGTTCGATATCGAGCTTGAGCCGCGCCGGGAAGTTGCCTTAGCGGACAAGATCCGTGTTCCTCGGAACAGGGTTCACAATCGCATGTGCGGATTGCGGGGATGCTGTCCAAAAACAAGCACACAACTTGGTATGATCTAGTGTTCAAAGTTACAGCAACAATCTGTGCCATACGATAGCCGAAACAAGCATGCAGGAATATTGGAATATTGCCGCAACAGTGTCGCGTTGACATTTCATGCCTGGCCCAAAACCAATTACCAGCATGGCTAAAAAGCTCATGCCTTTCTATACCCCCCCATGAAGCCAGGTTGAACCACCTACTACAGTGGTCAATAGGATGTTTGAACACTGCTCATTTGAGATCCGATGTTCATAGCACCGCCTCCAGTTGGCGAACCTCCTTTCCCCGACGCCAAGCTCTCCCAAGTGGAGGTCTCATGGGATTGATACAGTTCTGATGGGTCCACCACAGTCCTCAGGGGCCATCTTGGTTTGATGTTGGAAGGCGAATCTGAGTATGGCTCTCTTGCTGAGCTGGCAAGTTCTCTTGAAACGAAACGTAGCCAGGAGACCAAATGAGACCAATGGGCCAAATGAGACCAATGGGCCCAATGAATCCGTTTCTTTGAGGCTCCGCTTTTTGTTGGGAACCCGAGCGCAAATCTTCAAGAAATGGCTGTGGCTCAAAAAGCCGGTACCAAAATGGAACCCTGGTAAGTGGAAACATGGACCAAAACCTGCGGTTTGCCCCTCCTAGTGAATTTTGTGGGGTCTTCCGCCAGATTCCCCGCGGATTCCTTGCTCTGCTGCAGCAAGGCCTCCTGCGCTTCAAAGAGCCGGTCCTGGCCAAAGCGGCGGCTGAAAATCGGACCAGGACCCCAACTGGTGCTTTTTTTCTCGCTCGTTTTTTTTTTCCTTTCCCCCCCCACTCGTGGTGTCCTTTTAGAACCCCAAAACGATACCCGTTCAAAACTAATCACGCCCCGGTTTGTCAACGTCCCTGTCTCGAGCTTCTCTTTCGTGCTTGCATCGTTCTCCTCCATCTCTTTCCTTGAGACATGCTGCCTGCTTTTGTGTTTCGTTCAAATGAGAGGCTTGCTGGTCCGCAGTCTCGCCCACGGCATCTTTCACAGAGCCTGGACACCTTCCTCCCGGCTTCTTTGAGGGCTTGAAGGGAAACCATCAGGAAAACCCACGGTTTGGGCTCCCTCATTGGACAAACCCCATCACCGAAGCTTTGCCCAGAACTCCGCTTCTACCGCCCCAGATCTTCTTTCGGCTATGTAACCGGACACTGGCAACACGAAGGATTTCAAGACGCAAAGACAAGGGTGTCTTTCACGCCAAGCACCAAAACATGTATATATATATATATGTAAAAAAAAAAAAAAAACGCTACGAAGGCTCAACACAACGAGCGCCGAAGAACCGGCTCTGCTGATATTGACCCCCGGCGATTAAACCTGGCAAACTATGGTAGGGCAGGTGTTCCCCGAAAAGCGCATGGCTCTCTTCTAAAATAAGAAGGAAAAAAACACCTGGTCATGGATCCTTAGTTCCCATTGCGGGATACCGCTCGGCGAGCCGCAGTATAACAACAGCAAAAAATGCAAAAAGCGGCGGTATAACAACACAAAAAGGATCGGAAACCAGAAATTCCTCCAGGGTTGGTCCCTCGCCAAAGAAATGTGCCGCATTGGACACCAAACTGGGCTGTCCTCAGATCCCCCGCTCAAAGTTTCACCTCTGGGTTTAAATGGAAACCCAACCACTAAACACTAAAAAGCAAAAAAGCTAAAAAGCCAAACACTAAAAAGCTAAAAGGCTAGAAACAAAACTTTAAAAAGCAAAAAACTAAAAAGCTAAAAAGCTAAAAGGCTAAATAAAAACTTTAAAAAGCTAAAAACATATCAAAAAAAAAAACAATAAAAGGCTAAAAAACTAAAAAGCCACAAAAAGCTAACAAGCTAAGGAACCGGATGGCTGGCCTCGCCACCAAGGAACCCCCCCCCCCCCGCCCCCCCGGCCTTCAGCTTGGCCTTGATGCTGGGCAGCTGCCAAACCCTCCTGGGGGGCTTCTCCGACCTCGTTCGTGGCGGTCCAGCGCAGGCCGACAAACCCCAGCCCCAGAATGCAAACAGCAACATCCATAGGTGTCCTTCAGGGAAAATAGATGGTTCTGGCAAATGGAATGAAACCAACCTAAACCAGTGCCATCTATGTCTAGCCAAAAGAACCTGAAAAGGACACCTATGGCAGCATCAACTCCCAGCAAAGAAAAACGCCGTTTGTGCCACTGCCAAACGGCCAATCTGGATTTCTGAACGCCCCAACACGGGAATGTCTACAGGAGCTCAGGCTTTGCAACTGCCAACATCAGAAGCCCGGTGTAGAATCCTCAACCTGAAACGACCAAACAGCTGTGACGCCGGATACCTGCGGTTGGAGCCCATGGGCTCTCTCCCGCTCTGTGAGCCACGACGGAGAAAAGGGCCCCAAAACGCTCTTCTAGGTCCTCCAGTAGAGAGGTTAGAAGAAGGGTACCCTTTTTTCTGTATTTCGTAGGGGAACCCTCCCCCAAAAAAAGGTAAAAGGGCACTACTGGGATACCTAGTCTTCTAGTGTTTTAGGCCGTGATAGTACTTTGTCGTTTTAAACTGGATTTGCGGGGCCACTCACAGAAAGTCACAACGAGCCAACAATGGTACACCGCCATATTCCAGAAACTCCTCAAGCTGAGAAAAAACTATCATAAAACCAATGCCTTCTTCTTTCGCCCAAACCTAAAAGGACACCTCACCCTGAGAATCTGGGTGTCCAGCTGACTCCTCCAAACCGACCTGGCAAAAAGACTCAGCCCGCATCAGATCCGATGCTGAGGACAGCAGAACCCCAAGCCCATGTCTTAGCCAGGAATCAGAAGAAGCAGAGAACCAAAGTTCACTTCGAATATGATCACGGTGGTCTTTCATATGAAGTTGATCTTTCACGGCGCCCCATTGCTGAAATGCCGGGGATCTGTCGTTCCGGGTTGACATGATTGCAGGTCTCTGCACAACGGGAAAAACAAGACTCCGGAATTCCAGGCTTTGGAGCCTCGAAACTCCGGAATTCCAAAGTTTGAAACCTCGAAACTTTAGACCTCACTCTCCAAAAAAGGGTTTCTCCGCGAAACGAGGCGAGGCCCAAACTCGATTTATTCTCATGTGTATCCCATATGAACCCCCCCCAACAAAAAAAAGGGGAAGCCCCTTCAGTTCGCCGGGAAAATCCAGAACTCCAGAACACCACATTCACATGATGCCGGGTGGTTCCAAAACCGAGGGCTACAAAAGAATACCACCCCTCTGAGGACCATCGTAGCTTTACCAGGCACGAATCCATGCGTGCCACTCACCCGGACCTGGCCGCGAACATTTGTCGACTCGTGGCTGAAGTGCCCTTCGGGCGGCTCGATCCCGGTGGCCCGGGGAGGCCAAACCCGAGGCTGGGGAAGCTGAGGCATGTTGATCACTCCGAAGGCGAGCCGACGTCTGCTTTCAGTAACCTAAGCCCAGGTATCCCCAACGCCCGGAACCCTGGGGCCACTCCGCTGAGTGGCCAGGAACCTAGCTGGGCAAAGACCCCAAAGGCTTTCAGTCGCGCTGATTAACTTTGAAGGAGGACAACTCTGGTATTGATCCGCTTTGGGCACCGGTTACTCAAAGTCACTGCTCGTTACCTGAGAGTCTGTCATTGCCATGGCTCTTTGTGCCTTGATCATGTCTGGTCCTTCCAATCTCGTGTTCTGCGGCAGAAGCAAGGTGAACCCTTGGTACCGGATCACGTGTTTCTCGCAGCAATATCTCTAGTTCCCAAGTCCCAATTGACGGCCCACTAATGTTGACTCCACATTCATCAACCCCTGTTTATTACTAGGGGGGTGTCCCTGGGCAAAGTGGGGAATCATCACCTTTGGAGGGGAACACCCCCCCCCCACTGGGGTTGATTAATATGGGATCAGCATTCGATGTCTCCCCCCCCAAAAAAAAAAAACACAAAAACTTACCCCCCCCCCCCCCGCCAAAAAAAAAAAGAAGAAGAAATAGCGCCAAGCGAGCGGGGCCCGCATCGAATCCTGCGGGCCTGGCGCTTCCGGATTTTCCTCTTTTTTTAGGCCACAACCCTTGCCCAGGGCCGAAAGCAGGTGCCCATGTCGTGGCTTCATGGCTGATCCCATTAAGCCCCTGGGCCCGTGGACCCCCAAAGTTATGCAAGGTGTACAAGGCCCCTGTGTAGACAACCCCATCAAAGTCTGAATACAACAAAAAGCAGAGATGATGAGAAGTCGTGATCGAGGATATGTGTTTGGATTGTATTTGTCTTACCCATTCCGTCCAATAAAACCAGATTGATGCCCAAATGCCTGGAGGTGCTGTAGATGCGCGAGGTTTGAGCAGCATTGGTTTGCACCGGTCAAAGCAAACTCGCGCCAGGAAATCTCCAACCACAAGGTATCTCAACGTGCGCAGGCTGTCTGAGTGCGCGTGTCAGGCTCACCCAAGAACAACCACAAGGCGTTCAAAACAAATCGCAACTGCATCTGAAGAAGCTTCAAGCAAGACACGCACAACATGCACGACGTGCACATGACCCCACCAGCACAGGCCTATCAGATAAGCAACGGACCCTAGGCCACTGCCACAGGGGAAGACGGGGTACCCTTTAGTGGCAAAATAGTGGCTGTATATTCCATCAACTTGTTTAATGGTTTGACGCGGTGGAAGCATCTCAGAAATAGGCCTATGGACGGAAGGTGTTGACTGACTGGCGGCAGGTTCCCCTCGAGAATGGGGCATTGTGTGAGAGATGAAAGGAAGAAGACAATGATGTGCCGTGCAAAATGAAACTGGCAGGCTTCACTCAACAGGCTGTCTCTCAAAGGTGTGAAAGGGGTCGATCTACCGTACAATGTGCGGCGCTGGCGTTGACATGTTGGGCAGCGGCAAGATACGTTGGATCGGGACACATTCACTGCGAATGCTGCTCGGCTTTCTGTCCGCGCTTTCCCTGCCCCTGGTGTTTGTGGAAGATTTCGACTAAACCTGCCATGAACAACGGTAAACCAACACACCTGGGAAATCACACGTAAACCCATCCCATGTTGCACCAATCAAAATCGGGGCCTCGGTCCCTACTTGAGGTAGCCAACCAGGCCCCCAACCCCCCTCGAATTCATCCCCAGCCTTCCATCACGTCGCTGGCGTTGTGTTCAGCAACCGCTCAGAGTCGGGCGCCAGGGGCACGCGCTTGAATTAAACCCGGATGAACGAGCAGTTCATCCCAGTGGGGTCTTTTAGAGGGGCGTGACCATGAACAATTCTTGAGCGAGGTCTACCTGTGGCATGGTCTCTGTGTGCGGTTCCTAGCGCACTGAGAAACCGAGAGAGGCCAACTAGCTCTGCCACTGCTCAATGTGAACAACTTCTAGCTGGAAAAACTCATAGAAGTCGCTCATGCTAGCAAAACTTGGAAGTGCCAGCAGAAAGGCACCTGCAGAAACACATGAACGTTTGAAACCTTTGCTGAACTCGTCTACAAATATTGTCCTTCGCGCCGCTTTAGCGGTAGGCATGAGTCCAAACGCACAACTTTAAGTAACCGAAAGCTGAGCCGAAGCGGGTGGGCGACAGCAACTGACTGAGCTCCCAAATCGGTTGACCTTTGGTTTGACCAGAGTTACAAAAGCTTTAACGGCCCTTGATTTGAGGGCCTAGAGTTTTAAAATATTGTTCGAGCTATATTTTAGGCATCTTTTCTGGGATGTGATGCAAACATGCTCGCCAGCTAATAGAAGACAGAAGTCGAAGACAGAAAAGCAACACGTGCAATAAAAGAAAGAAGAAGCCACGCACCAACAAAGCCAAGCTAGAAAATCCGAAAACTCTCACAGACCTCGGGCGTCGCAATCTGCTTTCCCCGCTCAAGAGCCCTCGCACGAGTGCAATGCGAAGCGGCTTGGGTTGCGCGGGTTGCAAAGGGAGCAGCGCTAGTGGCTGACGACCTCCCTTCAGGATTGACACCATGAGCCCACGTGCTAAACATGGGGCCAAACTTAATTTGGCCCCTGGAGTGGGCGTGTAGGAATCAAAGAGTCTCCTTGGATTTGGAGAAGCAGATGTTCCAACCTTTACAAAGGACCCTTTAGACAACCCCCCGACCAACCGTTAAGATTTCATTTTGGCCTTATGTTCCCCTACTAAGGCTGGAAGTGTTACACCGGAGGGTTGACAGGGTCCCTAAAATTGTTCCAACCTTTACATGCGAGATTGAAAGCCATGCAAAGACTCCTGGATGACCAGCGCAGTCTCATTCCGCCGACTTGCACGCTTGCCCGTGTGAATCTAATTTCACCAACTGAGCATAGGTGTCCTTTTAGGGCAAATGGATGGTAGATGAATAAACCACCAGGTAAACCAGGAATCGAAACCCATCTATTTTTCGACCAAGACAACCAAAAAGGACACCGATGCAACTGAGGGTTCGCGACTCAGGTCGCCACCCCCCAGGCGAAGTCGCGAAACTCGGCCAGGCGATTTGTTTGTACACATAAGCTCGAGGGAACTCAGGGCCCGATTGAAACCACCTTGACCAGGCCAGATCACGAGATCACGCCCCCTTTATGGCGCAGTAGGTGCCAAAGACGAAGAAGAAGACGCCGAGCGACAGCAATGCCAGGCTGAAGAGGATCTGGGCTCAGTTAGGAATTGCAGGTGCCCCTAACTCCCCCGCCCCCATCGTTCAAATGGAGCGAAAGCAAGACCTTGCTAAGGCCTGCGATCGGGGAGGAATTGGAATGCTCAGTTGCTATCAAAGGTCGAGGCTCAGGTTTGCTAGTTGTGGATCCAGCGTTTCATGCCGGCATTGCAAACGATGGCCGGACGTGTTTGGTTGCGGGGGTGGGCAAGGGCCCGATTCCCATATCCGCAGTAATGCCTGGCACAAGGTGGAACCTTGGCCCCTGCCACAAACCAAAAAACACCCTCTTGGACGCCAGATGAAGGGTAGGGCACGGGTCTGAGGACCATTTCAAAATACGACTCACGTCCTTTCTTGGCGACAGGAAACAGAGCTAAACACAACCCAGCAGAACCCGAACATGCCATGCACCTGTGCAATATCATGTCCATGTGGATCTTACTTACTATGTAATACCGCCTTACAAGCTGCCAACTGAACGAAGCCAATCGTCAAACCAAACAACATGCTCAACTCATACCCAAGCCTAAACCAAGGACGCCAAAGTGGACAGGCCTTGGGAGGCCTCAAGACGATGGTTTCGTAACCAAAAGTCTTCTGTCCACTTCCAGGATTCTTGGAAACTTGGCCAAACCTGAGACCCCCCAAGCCCGGGCAAAAAGACCCGCAGAATGCCGAAAAATGTTGGTCAGGGAAAATGTGGCAAGCTTTTTCGGGGGGCTCCAGTTGCACAAAGGCGAGTTGAATCTGAGAAAGGTCTGGAAGTACCAGGCCTCTGGCGCCAGCCAGGAGAAGTCCTTGCCCTTCTTGCGGAGGGCCAGGATCCACCTCAAGCGCAAGTGTCATGGGTGGTTCGTTTTTTTTTCCGAGTTGGTACCCGGCTTTGTTGCGGGGGGGGTTCAAGGAAATACCCGAGGGAAACGAAGCGGTTTTGGGGCACCCCAGCTTTTCCGTGAAGACGCACCCATGCCACCCCCTTTCACCGGGACGGCTCCTGATAAACCTAAGGGCCCGGGGAAGAAAAAAAAAAAAACTGGCTAAGATGGTGCCGTTTTCTCAGAGGTTGCCCTGCCCTGCCCTCAGAAAGCCCCGGGCTTACTCTTTAATTGAGGATCCGGTTGTCTCCCGGCTTCGAATGATTTGACTCCTAAAGCAAAGCACCAACTGGAGTAGCTCATGGGAACACCATGCATTCTCAATCAAACTGAACTATCAGGATGCGCATCGCCGTATGGATCTCTCCATGGTCCTCGCGACTCTATATACCTCGAGAATTGCAAGAAGGAAAGCGGTTCTGTTCTTTGGGGGGGGGGGGCGGTGCCCCCCTAATTTCTCAAACATCCATATTGATTGCGTTCCCAACTGCAGAGACCCCGCCGACAACCCCATCAGAACAAGGAACAGTCACATATCGCCGTAAAGATCGCGACATCGTTGGTTGGTTCCCGCTTACCACAAGCAAAAGTGATTGACCAACAGTACTACTGTTTGTCCCCCAATGGCAAAATAATTGCGGCACTCACGGTCTATCGCAAATTTGGCGTGTGTGTGTGTGTGTTGTGTGCCCAACCCGATCCCATCCCCCTTTGCCGAAGAAAGTAGTGGTGCAGCTGCATGGTGAGATTTCTCATATCAAGCCCAACTTGCATTCCAGTGCGCAAGTGGTCAGCTAGAATACAACTCCACTTGCCACAAACTAAGTTACAAGTGGGTCACCGAGATTTCCCATTCAGCAAGGCAAGCGTCCCCCTAACGGGACATTTGGGAGACTGCGAGGCCCAGACCTCCCAAAAAACCTCCTTGTGTGTCTCCTAAGCCCAAAAGGCTTGGCTGAAATTGCAGCTGGTCCCGCGAGAAAGAGAAAAAAAAAAGGCCCCTGGCGGGTGGCACGGATGTCCGTTGGATGGCTTCGGGTCCCGAGACAAAGAAGCCTCCTCTCACCCCATGTCCCCCTTCAAAAAAAAAAAGAAGCCCCTGCAAAGGCAAAAAAGAACCGGCGCCTCATTTTTTTGGGGCCCCAGGGGCAGGGGGGGCACCACGTAGGAGATGTAAGCGGAGGCAAAGGCCCCGATGAAGTCCAGGATGGAGCGCAGGGAGGTGACCACCACGGCGATCAGGATGGCGACCTGGCCACTTCCGGGGGGGGGGGGGAAGGAAGGGGGCGGGGGAAGGGGAGTTGGAAGTCTCAGTGAGATGTGACTCAACCAACTTTGTCAAGATTGTAAAGACTTCTCACAAGTTTGTAAAGATTAAAAGGGGGGAGGCCACTGGCCACCTTTCCAGCCCTTTTAAAGTGATCCAGCTGATTCTTTGTATGTGGTTGCAAACACCACAAGCATGGTTCTCGTTTGAAGATGGAAACCAAAGGGAAGCCAAAAGGTAAACCATCGGATGGCAACCTACGGATACTGGATCTGGGTGTAAAGGCAACCAGCATGTATGACTCCATGACCATATTTCGACAGTGTTTGTAAAGGGATCTTGGAGTTCCGTATCCCATTTTGAGACAAGCCCCTGCAAGAACAACCGCCGTCTCACCTGAAGCTTCCCCTGTCGGAAGGACCACTGGCACGTCACATCATGCCCACTTTCCGGTTGCGCCACACCAAAGACTACACCGAACACCTGGCGGCACCCTCTCGCGGGGTCCATGTTAAAAACAGCACCCGTTCCGAAACGCACGCCCGCTTTCGAGGGAAGCGTCTCCTGGTGGAAATGGGATGGGTGCAGTCTTGCACAGTCAACCTCAAAGACCCACCGATCCCAAACGTGGAAGTTCAGATGAAATGCAGTTGACACCTCTACCAAGGAAGACAGCCAAGAAGCACAGGGGTTGGGACCATTCAGTAAACCCTTGCTAGGGGAGGGTTGTTTAGTCCGACTTATTTGCATCTTGCGCGCCAAGACCGTTCCGACCACAAACCAAAGCCCCCCAAAGCCAGGCGCATTCATTTTCTACCATAGCGAGTAACCAGAAGAAGCCGTCATGTAAAACCTACGAGGCACAAACTAAAATGGTCATTTACTATACAGGATGGACAGGTCAACCCCGAAAAGATAAAGAGAAAACGACCCGGCCACTGCCGTCAATCCACCCCGCCCAATTAGGCAAGACACCGCCACGGCTCCCAAAGCACAGGCGATATCCAGCCACCGCGCCAGCGACCGGCCGCCACATCCGTCGCTTGCGATCTCCTCCTCGCAGAACGAAACCGCAAAGGGATAATATCATTCATCAGCCTTATCGATTAGCAGGCGGCGGTTCTCCAAACGTGGAGAGCCCAGTTCCACCCATCAAAGTCAACAAATTCTGGGCTTGCCTTGCGGAGTCTGCATGTGAGTCCGCGAAAATGGCAAGGACTCGCCCCCATTTGGATGGTTTTTGAAAAAAAGCTTGAAGCAAAACATCCTCTTTCCTCTTACTGGGTCGGTCTTTGCCCTGCAAGAAAGCTGCTCAATGAGTTCGCCAAAAGGCGAAAAGGACAGTTTGGTCACACCCAAGAGCAACCAATGATCATGTGCTCATGTGGATGCGGGGGACATTCGGAAAAGTACGGCGCGCTTACATATGGACACAATCAAGGGCATGTGTTTCTGCTGCCCATGTGGGGTTCTCTTCTTTTGAGGGGACCCCCTTTTGGTTGGTTTTAATTTGAAAACAAAAGGAAACACAAAGAGTTTAAGGCGCCCCCTAATTATTATAAAAATAAAAAAGACTTGCTGGCACCGTGCTGGTCGGGGGGCATGCAAACACTTCGGCGCACGCATCATGTCACTTGGCGCGGGACACCATGAATTGCAAAGGGCGTGCTTCTTCTCGTGATTCTCGTGATTCTCGTGTTCACTCAGTAGCAACTCAGCCGGCACATGGCTCAAGGACAATACTACGCACAGCCTCCAGAAATAAAAGAGCGCTCCACGCAGATTGTACTGCCCACTTGTTGTATACATTTGCTTGATACAACAGCTCTGGCAGCATATATGAATATAATATACGTATATGGCCATGGGTCAAAATCCCGTACCCCCAGTGAACATCCCAATCCAACCCACAGCCACATAATTCTATCTTTGATAGTGTCCACATGTCTCTCGTGTTGCCGGCTTGTGTGCAGTTTTGCTTTTCTGGCTGGCGTATGCTTTGGATCAGCCGGTCACCAACTGCCAACGGTACTTGATCCGCGTAGCTCTAGCCTGATCTCTGCAAGAAAAAAAGCTAGCGGAGCCGGGTCCACGCCTCCAACAGATACCTATCGGAACCTTCACATGGGCCGCGCTAGGTCGATTCGCTTTGGTTGCAAAGGATGCTGATCATAGGACTCCAACCCCTCCCCCAAATCCCGCCCCTGCTGCTCCAAAATGAGATTCTGAGAGTTAAGGCCTGATCAGGCCTCACTTCAAACCTGCGCGGGGGGGTGGTGGAACCCAAGAGCCAACCCCCCCCCCCCCCCGCTTTGCCATGCGCGCATCGCTGGATTGGGGGCCTCGTCGTCTGCGGCTTTGGCCGGAAGCCCGCGGAGCTTGCGCACTGCATAAGCAGAGAATTGTCGGATGGGGTACACATGGAACTGGAAGCACCTGAGGTCGCTGGTGCTTTGTGGGCCCTAGCCCTCTTTTAATGGTGCAAAGCCAGGGGGGATTGAAAGGCAGTCCTATTGAATTGGCATCCTGTCCGCCATGATACTTGGAACGGTGGAACATTTAGTTGGTTAGCTGCCCCTGAACTGATGTTCGCAGCAACCTGGACGTGTCAATTGTCTAGTGGTAGATTGGGTGGCACCCTTTTACCGCACAGTACTTGGAAGCTAGCTACAAGTGGTTCGTGACCCTCACCTGCCTCCAGCCAATCTTGTAAACTAGGGTTACGAGCCATTTAGCTAAACCCCCCAAACCATCTCAGTATCGTGATACTGACTGTCACTCAAATGGAGTTTTGCGGGAAACAAGAAGGCAATGAAAACGGCTTGGGCTGGCTATCCTCCAGCTGACGACACTCCACCTAGCCCCAGCCCCTGGCCCTTGGACTACAGTTGTGGTGGCTCCTGGCCTCAGGACCATGCGCTCACCCCTTGTACTTTGGCCGGCTGTGGCCCAGTCCTGCTGAGGGTTGAATTCGCCGACGCCAAGACAGAATTCTGGCCCAAAAACGCCGGAGCAACAGCGCCGCTTCTTGAGTGCTGGGATTTCTGACGAACGTGCGCAACAGCGACGTCAACCGAAGGGCAACCTGCGCCCCCTAAGGCGACGTGGCACGGTTCTCCTCAACCACGGACTTGTTTATCCACCTCATAGCCTACCAGCTGGTGACCGTAGCGTCGTCCCCCAGGGCGGCCGGCTACAGCCAAGCCACACCGCGCATTCACGTGTCCCAACCCCAGCCCTTGTGTGTAGAATGTGGCTGTAGCTGCAGCCCTTGGAAAGTCACCTAGCCCCAGATTGTTGCCTTTGGACTACTGGCTGTCCTTCAGTGCCAAGCTGATACTTCTACCCACCTCATACTTTCATGCGCGGGAGTTTCTTGCCCGCTGCCCAGCTTCCTTACGCCTGGCCCCGAGTAAGAACGGAGATCAGAAAGAAAAGTTTAACTTTTTGCTTGTTTCCTGTTGGATTCTTGTTTTAAACCATCCGAAAGAGGGGGGCCCAATTGAAAACAATAACAACACATGTGGGGGGGGGCCTTGAACCAGGGGAACCTCCCACAATGCGCCCTTTTGGTGTACCAGGAACACCCCCAAAACGGGCGCCGTGCCTTGAAAACACATCCAAATGGCTGGTTGGAAACACAGATCCCGGAGAAGTTGAAGGTCAAAGGTCCAACGGTTGCCTCCAACCTCCAAAGGGGGGGAGTGCCTCTTTGAGTTCCATGAGATTCGGCGCGTGAGGACGCTGAACATCACCGCAAAGAGCGACACCACCACGTGCCACTCCTTGCGTGCCGGCATCAAATCCAGGATCAGTGTGTCCTTCTGATTGTCCTCAGTGCGGGAAAAAAGCCCAAGAGGTCAATCCTACCTATCAGCAGCCCTATGCGCCACCCGAAGATCAAGGGACATTGCTACGCACCCTGGGTTGAGAATCATGTCAGCGGGGAGAAAACAAACAAATAGCGGACAATTGTCCAGCCGGATTCCCATTGAGCCATAGCTTATGGTTGATTGACCCATCTGCGGGTTCGTTCATACCAAGGCTTCATGTACATGACCAGGCCATGCTCGAGTGGCCCTGGAGGTGAGGTGAGTACTACAGAGATTCGGGAAGCACTGGCCCAGTCAGGACCCCTTGTATCAGTAGATACCAGGAACATATGGGTCTGTCTTGTTTTTGAGGGTAACCCTTGGTTTGAATGGGAAGCCAAAAGGAAACCGAGCCAAATCATTTGAGGTCCCTGTTCCTATTCCTATTTTGAGGCAAGGCCTCATGTTTTCCCCCTGCGAGATCCCCAGCACCGTTTTCTCAGGTCACCGGTCACCGAAGTCGAAAACTTTTGGCCCAACTGCTTAAGTTCCTCTTGAGGTTTCCCAAGACCATTCTAAGCTCACTCTCTTGAGACATACTGTGGATGGACGAAATCCATTTCGCCCACCTAAGAAACTGTGGAAGGATGGTTGCCCTGTAAATACCAACAATGAATGGTTTCCCATGGTTTCCAAGTGGTGCAGGATTCTGTGTGAGAAACAGAAGACATCGCTACACAAAAGAAGCAAACAGAACGGATCGAAGACGCTGGGTGTTTTCCCTTTCGGATTAACTCTACCCCACGAGGTCGCAGCGTCGGCCACGCCGAATGCCAGCACGCCGAAGATGGACACGCTCCCATAGAGCCTTACAAGCCCACCCGCCAGAACTGGTCGCATTCATAGGTGGCCTTTTGGAAAAATAGTAAATGGAATAAACCCCATCTAAACCAGGGCCCTCTATTTTTTGAGCAAACCAACCAAAAAGGACACCCACCTCTCCTACCAGGTTGAGGCTGTCAGACCTTGCCATGTCCAAATGGTCATGGGTCAAAACCCGGGTTATCCCCCACTAAACAGCCCAATCCAACCACTAAAATAGGTTCTAAAATGGGTGGTGCACCTATCCCAAAATGGGATCCCATTGGTTTTGAACCATGGCCAAATCAGCGCCCTGACGTCTCCGAGGAAGGTTCAAGTCCCATTGGCCCTTTGCCTATGACTGCGCCTCGCCCTTTCAAAGAAGAGAGGAAGACCAGTGCTCACTTCAACCGTTTTACCCCTTGGAAAACCAAGCGAACATCTTCTGAAAGAGATGCTCTTCTCGTTTGCCAGGGAGCAGAAAGCATAGGCTCGTGCTCAGAAAAGCGACCTTGGTCATCTTGCGCACAGAGGGAACTGGTGTCAACTCTCCAGTGAGCTGCGGGACGTTGAACTGGTTGTTGTAGGCGAAGACCATGTTATTGATGGAGTTCCTGACGACTCACTTGAGTACATAATATTGTTTAAAGTATTTACCCGTTTTGGGCATACCCTTGTTTGGGTTGTTGGACCCAGTTGGGTATTTGAACAACACATTGCAGAAGCTTGCCTTGGGGTCAACAATTGGGTCACAGCCCTTCAAGAGTCCGGCTTTGGGCTATCAATTGAGGAGAACCAAGCATGTTTGAGTGGAGTATCGGGTGCCTGATAGCATTTGTCAGGGACCGAATCAAAACCATCAGGCAGCTTAGCTTGGCCTCATCAGCCTCAACCCCTTGACAGTTCTGCGCGGGGCGCGGGGACTTTGCGGGTGGGCTTGGGGTTGGTTGGGTGCTGGACCCTACGCATCCTTGAAGGGGGAGCGACTGTGTGCCGGCGCGTTGCGCAAGTTTGGGTCATGGTTCGGCCCGGGGTAACCATAGTAAGGAAATAAAACCGCTTCACGGGAAATAAAACCGAGGACCAGCCGGCACCATGAAAAGGCATTAAGGATATAGGCAGATCCAGCAAGAAAATACAAAACAAACATGAGAAAACAAAACATACGACGGACCGCACGGACTGGACGGATGGAGTGGATGAGCCGCATGAGCTGGGCGGACTGGACGGACTGGACGGACCGCGGACTGGACGGACCGGACGGGGCGGACCGACCGGACGGACCGCGGATTGGACGGACCGCGGACCGGGATTCACCGGACCGAACTGGACGGACCGCGCGGACGGGACCGCGGACCGGACGGACCGGACGGCACGGACAACGGACCGGACGGACCGACGGACCGGACGGACCGGACGGACCGGACGGACCGGACGGACCGGACGGACCGGACGGACCGGACGGACCGGACGGACCGGCGGACCGGACGGACCGGACGGACCGGACGGACCGGACGGACCGGACGGACCGGACGGACCGGACGGACCGGACGGACCGGACGGACCGGACGGACCGGACGGACCGGACGGACCGGACGGACCGGACGGACCGACCGGACGGACCGGACGGACCGGACGGACCGGACGGACCGGACGGACCGGACGGACCGGACGGACCGGACGGACCGGACGGACCGCGGGACCGGACGGGACCGGACGGACCGGACGGACCGCGGACGGACCGGACGGACGGACCGGACGGACGGACCGCGGACCGGACGGACTGGACGGACCGGACGGACCGGACGGACCGGACGGACCGGACGGGACCGGACTGGACGGACCGCGGACCGACGGACTGGACGGACCGCCGGACCGGACCGGACCGGACGGACTGCGGACTGGACGGCGGACCGCGCGTGGACGAACAGGACAGACCGGACGGACCGGCCAGACCGGAGAGCCAGACGCATCGCCGTGTGTAATCCTAGCGAAATTGAGACTTGAAACACGTAGATGTTTACCTTTGCTTCAGTCTCCTTCGCCTGAGTACATCGGAATACTTATGCTACTTGTGCAGAGTTTCAAGGCCAAAAAAAACTAAAAAATAGCGGGGGGGGGACAGGGTTGGGTTGGGTGGCAGCCCCCCTCATGATGATTGAAAAAGTGGATCGAACAGTTAGGGGCAAAGAATGTAAAAAATGGCTCTCGCATGATGATTGAAAAAATGATGCTTCAATTAAAGGCGCGGGGAGGGGGGTTGAGGGGGCGGCAGACCCCCCCATGGTGATCGAAAAAAGTGATGATTCAATTAAGGGCAAAAATTCTAAAAAGCCGCGGGGAGGTTGTGGGGGGCGGCAGCCCCCCCGCGCGCGGGGCGAGGGGGGGCCTGCAGCGCCCCCCCCCCGCACGATGATCGAAAAATGATGAGCGGGGGGTTGGGGGGCGGGCTGGGCGGCAGCCGACGACGATCGAAAAAGTGATGGTTCAATTAGGGGCAAACAGAAAAGGGGTGCGGATTTATTTTGGGTTGTTTCTTCGTTTTTTTGTTTTTTTGGTTTTTCGTCCGGGCAAATAAAATGTCGTATTTTACAGCATTTTCTCGCGAAATTGACGCATTTTACACTAGCTGGTCAACATCCCCAGCATCGTTTTCAACATCCCCGCATGTCCGACCAACATCCCTAGCATCACCAACAAATCGTGGGAAACCAAATCCAAAAATGTAGCTGGCGGGTTAACGGGGTGAAAAAAAATAATGCTTCGCTGCAAAAAAATCTAAAAAGTAGCGGGGGGGGGAGGGGTTGGGGGGGCGGCAGCCCCCCCCCCCACATGATGTTCGAAGACTTGATGATTCAACTAGGGGCGCAATTCATTTAATCTCTGTAGAAAATTTAAAACGTAGCGGGGGGTTTGGGGCTGCCGCCCCATGATGTCGGAAGAAGTGGTGATTCAAGTAGGGGTGCAATGATTCAAGAAAGGGTGTAATAGAATGTAAAAGGCAGCGGGAGGGTTGTTCGAAGAAATGCATACATACAGACAGACATGGACTACACAGATTACCCAAGATGTCGTATTTTGCCATATTTTCTCGCGAAATTGGTACTCGAAAAAGTGATGATTCAAACAGGGGTGCAATTCAATCTCTGCCGGGCCAGTAAAGTGTCGTATTTTACAGCATTTTCTCGCGAAATTGACGCATTTTACACTAGCTCGTCAACATCCCCAGCATCGTGTTCAACATCCCCCGCATGTCCGACCAACATCCCTAGCATTACCAACAAATCGTGGGAAACCAAATCCAAAAATGTAGCTGGCGGGTTAACGGGGTGAATAAAAAATAATGCTTCAAACAGGAGGGCATCTCAATGCCAGCCAGAAAAATAATAAACAGAGCGGGGCTGCCACCCCCCATGATGGTCTGATGATGATGTAAGAATAGGGGTGTAATTCGGTCTCTGCAAAACATCATAATATAAGTAAGGAGGGGGGGGGTTGGGGGGGGGTTGGGGGGGCGGCAGCCCCCCCATGATGTTCGAAGAATTGATGATTCAACTAGGGGCGCAATTCATTTAATCTCTGTAGAAAATCTAAAACGTAGCGGGGGGTTTGGGGCTGCCGCCCCGTGATGTCGGAAGAAGTGGTGATTCAAGTAGGGGTGCAATGATTCAAGAAAGGGTGTGATAGAATTTAAAAGGCAGCGGGAGGGTTGTTCGAAGAAATGCATACATACAGACAGACATGGACTGCACAGATTACCTAAAATGTCGTATTTTGCAATATGTTCTCGCGAAATTGGTACTCGAAAAAGTGATGATTCAAACAGGGGTGCAATTCAATCTCTGCCGGGCCAGTAAAGTGTCGTATTTTACAGCATTTTCTCGCGAAATTGACGCATTTTACGCTAGCCCGTCAACATCCCTAGCATCGTGTTCAACATCCCCCGCATGTCCGACCAACATCCCTAACATCACCAACAAATCGTGTGACGGGGTCAAAGAAATGATGATTCAAGTAGGAGGGCATTTCAATCCCTATAAAAAAATAAAATTAAAAGTAGCGGGGGGTTTGGGCGGGGGGCGGCAGCCCCCCCCATGATGTTTTTGCAGAAGTGATGATTTGAATAGGGGTGCAATTCAATGTCTGCAAAAAGTCTAAAAAGTAGCGGGGGGGTTGGGGGGGGGGGGGCGGCAGCCCCCCCCATGATGTCATGATGTTGGAAGAATTGATGATTCAACTAGGGGTGCAACTAATTAAATATTAAATCTCTGTAACAATTTTTAACACAGCGGGGGGGTTGGGGGGGGCGGCAGCCCCCCCCCCATGATGTCGGAAGGAGTGATGATTCAAGTAGGGGTGCAATGATTGGACTACACAGATTACCTAAAGTGTCGTATTTTGCAGCATGTTCTCGCGAAATTGGACGCTCGAAAAAGTGATGGTTCAAACAGGGGTGATTCAATCTCTACAAGAAATCTAAAAAGTAAGGGGGGGGGAGGCGGCAACCCCCCCCCATGATGTTTGAAGAAGAGTTGATTCAAATAGGGGTGCAATTACTCTGCAAACAATCTAAACAGTAGCGGGGTTCCCCCCCCATGACGCTCGAAGAAGTGATGATTCAAATAGGGTGGTGGTGATGCTGATGATGCGGAAAGCCAAATCCAAAAACCAATAGCCAAAAAGCCCGAAGATGCGCAAAGCCAAAGCCGAAGCCGCGCAAACCAGCGAAAAGATGCAAAAAGGCAAAAACGCTACCTGCCGAAGAGGAATTGGGAATGCAGAGGATGCGAAAAGCCCAAAAGCCACCAAAAGCCGCATAAACCAGCAAAAAGACAAAAAGCCTAGAAGCCCAGAAGCCGAGAACCGAAGAAGCCAAGAAGCCAAGAAGCCAAGAAACCAAAAAGCCAAGAAGCCCAGAAGCCCAGAAGCCGAGAAGCCAAGAAGCCGAAAAGCCAAGAAACCAAGAAGCCGAGAAGCCAAGAAGCCGAAAAGCAGAAGCCAAGAAGCAAGAAGTCAAGAAGCCAAAAAGCCAAGAAGCCAAAAAGCAAAAGCAAAACAAAAAAAAAAAAAGGGAAAAATCGTAAAATAAATACAACTCCAAAGAAAAGTCTAAAAAGTAGCAGGGAGAGGGGTTGGGGGGAAGGGGGCCGCAGCGCCAATGACGATCGAAGTGCAAAGTAGCGGGGGGGGGGGGTGGGGGGGGGGGGGGGGGGGGGGGGGTTGGGCGGGGGTTGGGGGTTGGGGGGGGGGGGGGGGGGGGCGTCGCAGCCCCCCCCATAATGTTTTTTGCAGAAGTGATGATTTGGATAGGGGTGCAACTCAATGTCTGCAAAAAGTCTAAAAAGTAGCGGGGGGGTTGGGGGGGGGGGCGGCAGCCCCCCCCATGATGTTGGAAGAGTTGTGATTCATCAACTAGGGGTGCAACTAATTAAATATTAAATCTCTGTAGAAAATCTAAAACGCAGCGGGGGGGTTGGGGGGGGCGGCAGCCCCCCCATGATGTCGGAAGGAGTGATGATTCAAGTAGGGGTGCAATGATTCAAGAAAGGGTGTGATAGAAGCTTCCCCTATGATGTTCGAAGAACTGCATACATACGGACATACATGGACTACACAGATTACCTAAAGTGTCGTATTTTGCAGCATGTTCTCGCGAAATTGGACGCTCGAAAAAAGTGATGGTTCAAACAGGGGTGATTCAATCTCTACAAGAAATCTAAAAAAAGGGGAGGCGGCAACCCCCCCCATGATGTTTGAAGAAGAGTTGATTCAAATAGGGGTGCAATTACTCTGCAAACAATCTAAACAGTAGCGGGGTTCCCCCCCCATGACGCTCGAAGAAGTGATGATTCAAATAGGGTGGTGGTGATGCTGATGATGCGGAAAGCCAAATCCAAAAACCAATAGCCAAAAAGCCCGAAGATGCGAAAAGCCAAAGCCGAAGCCGCGCAATCCAGCGAAAAGATGCAAAAATGCAAAAACGCTACCTGCCGAAGAAGAACTGGGAATGCAGCGGATGCGAAAAGCTCAAAAGCCACCAAAAGCCGCATAAACCAGCCAAAAAGCCAAAAAGCCTAGAAGCCCAGAAGCCGGAACCGAAGAAAAAGCCAAGAAGCCAAGAAGCCAAGAAGCCCAGAAGCCAAGAAGCCAAGAAGCCAAGAAGCCCAGAAGCCAAAAAGCCAAGAAGCCAAGAAGCCAAAAGCGAAAAAAACCCCAAAAAAAAAACGTGAAAAATCATAAAATAAATACCCCTCCAAAGAAAAGTCTAAAAAGTAGCAGGGAGGGGGGTTGGGGGGAAGAGGGCCGCAGCGCCATGATGATCGAAGTGCAAAGTAGGGGGGGGGGGTTTGGCGGGTTGGGGGCAGCCCCCCATGATGATCAAGAAAGGGATGACTCAATTAGGGCCAAAAACCATCATGATGATTGTTAAAGTGATGATTCAAATAGGGGCCAAAAAGCTGTTAAAAAGTAGCAGGAGGAGGAAAATATGATGGTTCAATTCAGGCACAAAAAAAAGTAGCGGGGCGGGGGGGGCGGTGATCCAAAAAAGCTATGATTGAAACAGGGCCGCCCCCAAAAAAAAATAGATATGAAAACGCAGGGGGGGGAGGGGTGGGGGGCGGGGGGGGGGGTTGGGGTGGGCGGCAGCCCCCCCATCATAATCGAACAAGTGATGATTCTAAGGGCAAAAACTCGAAAAAGATAGCGGGGGCGTGGCCCCCCCCCAAATGATTGATTTGCTGATTCAATTAAAGGCGCGGGGGGGGGGGGGGGGTTGGGGGGCCCCCCCCATGATGATCGAAAAAGTGATGATTCAATTAAGAGAAAAAAATCTAAACAGCAGCAGGTGGTTAAGGGGGGGGGCGGCAGCCCCCCCATGATGATTGAAAAAAAAGTGATGCCCCCCCCCATGATGATCGAACATGGGGCAAAAAAATCTAAACAGCAGCGCGGGGGTTAGGGCCCCCCCCCCCAGTGATGATTGAAAAAGTGATCCCCACCAATGATGATCGAAAAACAGTGATGATTCAATTGGTGCAAAAAGGTCCAAAATAGCGGGGGGGGGGGGGTTGGGGCTGAAAAAAAAATCTAAAAAATAGCGCGGGGGGGGGGGGCATGATGTTCAACAAAGTGGATCGAAAAGTTAGGGGCAAAGAGTGTAAAAAGTGGCTCTCGCATGATGATTGAAAAAATGATGATTCAAATTAAAGGCGCGGGGAGGGGGGGTTGGGGGGGGGGCGGCAGCCTTCCCTGTGCAAACATCTATGCATTTCATTCTACACTTGCCCCACGCATGCGTCTAGGCAATCAAATTGTCTACTTTCCGCGCGCGTGCCTCTATGCATTTCACTGTCTACTTTCCCTGCGCATACCTCGGCACTTGCTCTACGCGTGCCTCTCTGATTTGCACTGTGCACTTTGCTTACGCATGCCTCTATGCATTTCACTGCCTATTTTTTCTTCGCAGTTGAGCTGCGCAGAACTCAACGACTCTACTACTGCGCAATGCTTCTAGGGAAAATGTAGATACGAGCGGGCTTTCAAGCAGCAATCTTGAGCTGGGAACGAAAAAAATGTAGTATAATTGTTCCATTCATGCCGTTATGCTGTTGCGTGTTATGTTTTGCGCTTGTGTAATTTGTTTTCGCGCGTACTCGGCTTAATTCTGCGCTGATGTTTGTTCCTTGTCAAGTCTTTGTTCAGTTTGAACCGAGAAGTTAAAACAAAAACACATGCAGGAAGGATTGTGGCGCGATAGGCATTGAGCGATTGCGGAGGCGTGTTTTATTTTTATCTGTGTGTTTAATTTTCTTGCGCGATTCTTGCCCTGATACTTGTTCATGGGCTTTGCAAGCCAAGAACTAAATAAGGTAGAGGTTGTCACGCAAAACGATTCTTGGGGGTTGCGCGGGCTTGTTTAGTTTGTTATACGTGAGTTTTATTTTCCTACGCAATTTGCTTATTTCTGCGCACGCATTTGCTTATTTTTGTTTTCGTCATTTTTTATTTCCCCGCGAGCGCTTTTATTTCCTCGCGGAACGTCCCCGGTTCGGCCCTAAACCCTTGGGGACGATTAACCCTTGCTTCTGGCCGGGGTTGGGAAGGAGTTGGTCGGCTGGTAGGGGGTCCTATCTCAGGCGCGTCCTCACGGTTTTATCAGCCGCATTTTCCTTTGTCAACTGGGTGCCATTGAGCCAACTGTGCGCGCCATCGTTCGGCCAGGAACAAGGTTCACAGGTCCCTCTCTAGGTTGGCCAAACATCAAGCTCTCTGACTTCAGGGCTTTCCATGCGTGCCCGGAATATGTGACTGACCGACAGTAGATAGACCCCACCAACACCAATACCCCTGTTTGCTGCACGGAGAACGTGCACTCATCCCTGTCAACCGTGAGAAAGCCATTTCCCCAGGTCATTCCGCCTAAAAACCACGGGGCTGTTTATTCTACGGTCCCCACAAAAAGCATCACAACCGCTGCATTGCTGTCACCATCACCATCGCATCACATGCATCACAGGCACCGCCGAATGCATCACCACGACCCGCTTCGAACGCATCAAACGAGAGCTGGTGATGGGAAACGTTGGGAAACGCAACTGGAAGTATCTTAAAGGGTGGTTCCCTTTGCAACTTCACATACATGGAATCACTACTATCCTGGTACATGAAGCTTGCTCCCGCTAAAGCACCTGCCAATCCAAATCTGGCATAGCACAGACGAGACGCATGTAGGTAAACACCGTGGCGCCCGAGCTGGGAAGCAGGAAGCTCTCCACGTCCACGGACTCGTCGATGCCGTGCTGGGCCCAGTACCACACCACCGACCCCACCAACAGCCTGCGAAAAATGGCTAAGGCGAGTCAGGGATTCAACTTGAAAACCGAGACACCTGAAAAGGGGCCTAAGTCTTGGAAAGGTGTTTTGTAGGGTCAAACTGTGCGGCTATTGCCTGCGCAGAAAAAAATACCTTTATGCTCCGACGTCGCAATGGTTAGAAGAGAAAGCAGTCTGAGCTGTCTAACGTTCTCCTGTTGCCCTGTGCTTTATACTGAAAGCTGTTGGCCATCCGTGCGCGCCCGTGAAGCAACCAAATGCTTCGGTCGAAGCGCCCAATTGGAAGTGTCGACAAATGGCTTAGGGGGCATGTTCTCTCTTGTTGACTTCGGATTCCTCTGGAGTACCGTACTAATCAGAGAGTTTCCCTTTTGGTATGGATATGGTCTCTTGGATTTCCTCTGAGCGTTCTGGAGCCCAAGGACAGATAAAAAGCCGGAGTACCTACCCCACAAGCTGAGCCGCTATAGAAGGTATCTAGGCAGGTTTGCCTCTAGAATATAGTGAGGTCTCATGTAAAGAGGCGCTCCGTAGTTGCCCTGCATGTGACCCACTCAGGGAGCTTAACCAATTAATTGGGAGTCTGGAATGAAGCAAATGTTCGCCCGATTGGTGCATTTTGATGATACGAGCATATGTAACAGTGACCATTCCCCTCTAAAACCAACTGAAAACATAAATCACATTCTCTCAACTATAAAGTTCCCTCTACAATCTGGTGGTGACTTCAATCCTCAAGCGTTGCATACCCTTCAAAGAAGCGCAAAATCTTCAGCTTCCCCTTGTTTGATTGACGGCTTGGATTCTTGCGTTTTGGAGCTGTTGCGCTGCGTCCCGATCGAAAAACTCGAGAACCACAGGTTCAAACTCTAAAAGCGCCATACAAGCTTTCATTTGCGTAGGGCGCCACAATAAACTAGCACACGTATCAGTCATGTCCAGTTGGCGCTAAACAAAGGTGATTCAAGCAAAAAATGAAACATATGCTGAAGCTTGTGTTTGAGGAACACGAAAACGATAAAACCAATAAAATATAACAATCAAAACCAAAAAAACAAAATTTCATGAAACACCGCAAAAGAATCAACACTAAAGCAAGCAAGCAAGCAAGCAAGCAAGCAAGCAAGCAAGCAAGCAAGCAAGCAAGCAAGCAAGCAAGCAAGCAAGCAAGCAAGCAAGCAAGCAAGCAAGCCAAGAAGGTAAGAAAATCAATTCAAAGAAGAAAAAGAGGCAAGCAAACCAAACAAACAAACAAACAAACAAACAAACAAACAAACAAACAAACAAACAAACAAACAAACAAACAAACACCCCCCCCCGCAAAAAAAAAAAAAAAAAAGAAAAACCAACCAACCGACCAACCGACCGACCGGCCGACCGGCCAACCGAGCAACCGAGCAACCGAGCAACCGAGCAACCGAAGCAAGCCAGCAAGCCAGCAAGCAAGCAAGCAACCAAGCAAACAAGCAACCAAGCAACCAAGCAACCAAGCAACCAAGCAACCAAGCAACCAAGCAACCAAGCAACCAAGCAACCAAGCAACCAAGCAACCAAGCAAGCAAGCAAGCAAGCAACCAACCAACCGAGCAACCGAGCAACCGAGCAACCGAGCAACCGAGCAACCAAGCAACCAAGAAACCAAGAAGCAACCAAGTAACTAATCAATCAATTAACTAAGCAAGCAAGCAAGCAAGCAAGCAAGCACGCAAACAAAACACATCAACAAAACAAACAACCAAACACGCAAACAAATAGACCAACTCACGAGTAAACAACACCCATCGATTCAGAAAGAGTCGAAACAATGGACGCTGGCAGGCAGCAGTAGAGCCCCCACGCTGATGGCCGCCAGGTGCCGCATGAATCCCACGTGACGGGCCAAAGCCAAAGGGCCGCAGATGAAAACGCCCACCTGAGCCATGACCCGCTATGAAAATGACTAGGTCGTCCAGTAGAGAGGATAGAATAAGGGCACCAACCTTTTTCCTGTAGTCTATTTTAGTAGGGGAACTCCCCCCCCCCCAAAAAAAAGGGGTAAAAGGGCACTACTGGGGGACCTAGATGATCCACCCAAAAACCATGCAAAGAACTAAAACCATCTAAGAACCATGTATGATAAAATGATCACAGAGAACCATGTAAAGCACGAAAAAGGCGGCTCGTTGGAGGCACCCATTGGATTGGAAGGGGATTGTCCCTAGCAAGCGAAGAAATGATCTGAACCGGGTATTAAACTTGCGATCGGTGCGAGAGATGCAGGGAATGAGAAATGGAATGACCTCAAGACAAACCATCCAGCCGGCGGCTGTCCTTAAGGGATTTTCCCAGATTCCCTACCTATCGCACAGCAAGTAAAATGGCCTACCCAGAACCATGTAAAGAACCAAAAGGCAGCGTTCCGCGCCCATTTCTGGGATCGGGATTCTCCCTAAGCTTCATCTACCCGAGCTTTGAGCAAGTGGCTTCGAATCAACTCGCGGCCAAAGCTCTCAACCACTTTGGGGTCGACCCATTTTCCGAGACAAAAGAGGGACTCAGAGGGTGCCACTCAGAACTGGCAACTTGATTGTGACCTCCCGTTTGGGCCACCCAAGCGGCCATCCACCAAACCGAGCCCCCAGGGCTGCGCCAAAATGACTACTACCCAAAGAAGTGCTTTGAAGAAAGTTCTCCAATTCGCCGACTTCTCTTCGACGTGGCTGGAAGCTTGCCCTCCACGATCATCGAAGCGCCACACTTGAAAAGTTATTTTTCCTGATGGGAGTTCCCATCCTACACCTTGCACTACCCAAAAACTGAATAATAACGAGGCAAAATCAAAGGGTTGGCACAGAGCTCTGGCGAACCTGCCCCCGCCACACCTCAGGAAAAAGAAAAAAGAAGCAAACGGTGAGTGCTTGCAGGACAGCCAAACGCTGAGCATGCGCGATGCCCCGCTACAACATGGACAAGCACGCCCTATGAGTTTGACGGAACTTAGCCGGTTACTCGCCTCTACCAAGCGAGATTCACATGCCGCCGCATTTTGCAAGGCACCAGCACCACGAAAAGGTTCCGGGCATTGTCATCCGCCCGGAAGACCACCTGGAGTCAAGCGTCTTATTGTCGCCCCAAACCAAAGCTCGAAAAAGCCCAAAACCGCAAACAGAACACCTGAGCGGAGCCCTTCTCAAAAAGAAGGTCGTCCCCAAACAAGGGGTTCCGTGAGACAACCCTTTCTGTGATACCAAATGACTACTTTGTCTGGTATCGCAGTAGTCCCATGGCACCTTCTCATTTGGCAGAACGTGAGATTGCCCGTGAGCCTTTGGCTTTGGCCCTCTTCATGTTGCCCGATCTTCGCCAGGTGACCTGACGTGTGCCTCCCTTGGCCTCGGTGGTCTCCCTTGGCCTGTGACGCATGGCTGCCGCCTTTGCGGATGCTCGGCACTTGTTTTTGACCGATTCATACACCCGGCCCATTATTGGGGGGGGGCCCCTCCAAAAGTGGTCTGAATCCAGCCCCCTGAGTTGGCCTCATTTTGCCCAGGCCTAGATTCACCTAGGTGAGCAAAGTGGGGTGTTGGCGACCTTCTTTTCCTACAAGACGTTGGCTACGACTGTTGCGAGTGTCAGGCTGACTCCTCAGAGCTCTTGCGGGGAAGCCATAAGCTAAGAGGTCAAAGGTCACACCGTGATCCTACCACTCCCCCAGCAACCCCCCAACTGGTAAGGCCCGCGTGCACATGGATGAACCCCAAGTGGATTTTCTCCATCAAGACTAGGCCCCCAAACGGCTGTGGGCCCTTAAAGGCTCAAGACTTACAAAGATTTTTGGCTGGGCTGCCCTCAGATCCCCTGCTACTAGTTTAAGATTTAGTGGCTTAAATGGAAACAACCACTAAACCTAAAGAGATAAGGAGCCGGACAGGCTGGGAACCACCAAGCTAGGCTCTTTGCTGTCCAAGCCCTAACGCGCCTGAAACACTTGCCCGCACACAATGAGGTATCCAGCAGCGGAGCCCAGGCAGTTGCACACGTTGATGAAGCCTCGCGTCGGTTCTCGAAGGGACCTCCCCCCGCCCCCCAAGCGCCTGGGGGTTAATAAGGCTTTGGAGATAAGGCCAACATAAGGCTCAATAGGGCCGCTTGCATGGTTCATGAGTTACTCTGTTGGTTGTTGTTGATTGTGGGGAGCCCCCTTCTGGGAAACAATAACAGAGCCAGTGGTTCTAGGCCTTTTTGGTGCTATGCGGGGTCCTTGACCCTGGTCTTTCTTGAGACTGCAAAATACCGAAAAACGAAAGCGCAAACGTTTGCTCATCTGCTCAGGTTTTACAAAATGTGCGCTCTTAAAATAACAGCAGATTTCGAGGGTGTGGGTTGAATGGTTGAGGTTCAAAAGGCCGAAGACCTGCTTTTTCATGCCCGCACGCACTGAGGGTACATCCTTGCGTGGCGTTCGCCTGATTGAAAACAACAGAAACATGTACCATGGAGTACATGCATCCACGGCCCCTACAGGCGCCAAAGAACCCAAGAAGTGTTACACCCTGGCTCGGTCTTTTTCAGCCGCAGTTTGCCCTAAGGCATATCAGGCCCCCAGCCCGGGTCTTTGGGCGGGGTGAAGGGTCCAAATGCCAACTTCGGATTCCACGGAGAACCGTAGAAGGGTCGCACGAAACTGAGATCATGTTCAGCACACCCAAAAAAATAACACCCTGAAGAAGGGTGGTGCAAAATAGACCGTAGGTGTCCACCCAAAACGAGGACCCCGTGTTCAGAAACTCACCGAAGCGATTGCGAAATGTGCCAAAGGAGCCAGTGAAAAGCGACATCGCCGGGTGAAAGAGCTCATCGCAAATGTCCTCATGACAAGGGCCTCTTTCTGCAGCGACCCCTGCGATAGAAGGGTCCCTGGTTTTGGTGATGCTTTCGGAACGAGTTGCACAACCACTTCTGCGCTGTGATATTGCGAATTCTCCATTTCAAGAGAAGGCCAAAACTACCTCGTTGTAACAACCCTGTTTAGCATCCCTTACTACGGACCTCGCGTTTCAAAAGATGCTAACAGCAGACTGCAGCCTTTGAAACAATTGGATGACTTATGATCGACCAGAGATAAGACATGCGCCAAGTTAAAATCGTCTTTTGGAAGTCATGGGACCATGTCCCCTGACGAAACCAAAACCTTTGTGAGTGGGTCGTTAGAATATTATGATTTGCCCAAACTACGAACTTATCCAACAGGGAACCGCCTCAAAAGTGATTGGTGGACATACATCCCCACCTTTGTGCTGTCCACCACGGGGCCCCCATCAAAAATCCACACCCAACAATATCCGGCGTGAAGCTTTAAGACGTCCTCATAGCTCCAGCAGCCCGTCTCCACACTGGCATTCGCGATCATGCGGATGCTGGCCAAAGTGAGTAGCCCGCCCAGCACGAGGCAAGCGAACTGATACACCTGAGCACTGCTTCCATCTGGTCATTGCGGGAACCCCACAAAGAAGGTTTGACATGTGTTTTCCTTTTCCTTTAAAACCACCTCGAAAGGATACCCACCGATTTGCCTTGAGATCACTTTCAAAGGGATACCTCCACAAACCCAAGACTCGATTAGGGATCCTGGAAACCCAACCCTGAGCACCCGCAAGACTGGTAAGGCTTTCGCTGGTCATGAGGCTTATCAACCTCACCAATCGGCGGAAATGCCGTCCCAGGTCCGTAGGGCTTCCCAGACCAAGCCTTTCCCCATGGAAACCTTCCCAAAAGGAAACCAGCATAGAAAGATAGCTAGGTAAGTAGGTAGATAGATAGATAGATAGATAAATGAGATTACATTAGACTAGCTAGATAGCTAAGAGAAAGAGAAAGAGAAAGAGAGCTGTGAGCTACGTGAAGCATTCTTGCGACACACAGGCATTCAGGAAAGAGCGAGAGGACAAAGAGAAAGAGACAAAAAAGGAAAAGGAAAGAGAAGAGAATGAGAAAGAGAAAGAGACAAAGACAAAGAAAAAGGACAGAGACAGACAAAGAATCAAAAAAAGAGAAAGATAAAGAGAAGTATAGTTCTTTCAAGTTTGAAACTTTCGCCAACCCCCTTCGCTGGATCTACTTTCTCATAAGGCCTTTTGTCCTCTTTGGAGGAAAGGGAAACTGGCGCAAAATCAAAGGCATCCCCCTGTCCACTCTCCTTTGGCTTCCTGCAACAAGGTCTCAAGGCCTCTGGTTTCCTTGATCCAGCAATAAGTTACAAATTTCGGGGAAAGGACGGCGGGATTGCTTTTCCCGGCTGTTTTGGCCACTTCGGGGACTTGACTGACACGAACCACCTGCGGCGGCCATCTCCATTCGACGAGCGGCAGCGCCCACTTCCGCCGCGTGCGCCGCTACCGACAGCACTCCGGCGCCGATGGCCGCCTTGCTGAGGCAGATCGCAGTGGGCAAAATGCCGCCCCGCCGGAACCTCGGAGCAACAGCGATAGAAGGGCAAGAAGCATACAGTGGGCATACAAAGGGTGGGAAAAGTATATGGAAGGGGGTAATATGAGTCTATGAGGGGGTACATAAGAAGGTGAGAACCAGATGATTCCTTTGCTCCCGATTCAGGCCAATGGAACCACAGCTTTTTTTCTTGGTCCAGTGCTTCCGGGCAGTCTACAAAAGTAGGTCACCAGGGTGTCTTGCCTCTGGAATTGTCATCATGGTTTACTTGCAACAGTGGCATGTGGTTTCCGCCGCCACCATGTCCTACCCAGGTGAAAAATGAGAAGGTCGTAAGGGTCGAGTCAGTTGAATTCCGGGGAAAGGAGAACGAAAGGGCACAATACCAACGCTCTACACGGAGCTTGGTGGCCAAAAGGTTCCGGGTCGAGCCTGAAGGCTTGATGAGGCCAATGAATGGACCTCCCGCCTCGGCTTGTCCCAGTCCCCCCCATCTGAGTTGCGCTTCGAACCGGAGATTCGGCAACCCGGCTGGGAAGGGGTGGGCGGGGGGCCTCCCAAACTGGGCATGTCTCAAATAATTAAGCGGGGACCCCCCTTTTGAAAAGACCGAATTGTTGGTTCAGGTGAGCAGGGTAGCCTCAAAAACACATGGGGGGGTTGGGGGGGGGAGCTGATGGGAAGCTTGGCACATCCCACAAAGAAATGCTCGGCCAAATCCGCTCTGGCGACTGACACCAAGCGGCAACCAAAGCAACAAGGCTTGATCTGAAGCAACCTCAAAAGGGCCATCAAGCGCAGGGACCCAGGCCTCATTCAGCCTCAGGTAGCCCTATTTGGCAAAACCTACAGACCTACAGGTAAGAGATCCTGGTTAAGCTCGCCGCCTGGGCCATCCCAAACTTTGCATTTGCCACTCAGATGGCCCAAACCCAAAAAGCACAAAACCCAGGAACTCAGAAAGTAGGACAGATCGGTAGGCGCCCTGGAAAGACCTTCACCATGAGTGAGGTGTCAGTTCCTTGTGGGGTCGCCAAAACGTGTTTCATAGTACAGGTGAATCCCTGTTATGCTCACCCATCGGTCCGTGGAGAAGTTGGAAGCTGCGACACAGCTGGAGCGGCCTTCTTGTTCTCAATGCCCACCCCCGACCCCTTGCATTGAAAAGGCCTTATTTGGCCTAGATTGGCCCTGATCATGTTTTGCAGCCCTAACCCGGGCCTTTGGCACTAAGGTAAGTGTGTGAGTGGATGTGATTCTGGAGGTCTTGCCCTGAGGCCCCTCACCTGCCCAAAGCGGCAACTAATAAGAATCCCTGAGAAACCAGGCCCTCTGCTTTTGGTAGCGAATTCTAAAGAGGGAAGCCCCTCCAAAAATTCAAAAAAAATCAAACCAAAACTGGAAAGCCTACACTTGGGACGCGTGAACCCAAGATGTCCCACAAGAACTCTGAAGTTTGCATCGCCAAGAAGCCTGTTGCTGCCGTTCGCCGAGGCCACACTGAGGCTGCCTTTGCTGCTCCCTCCGCTGGCGGTGCTGTCCTGCGACGCTCCAACCCATGGATATGGCGGTGGGTCAAAAATCGGTACCCAAAATGGAACCCTGGTGAATAAACACATGGACTAAAACCTGTGGTCCCCTGGAGGTTTAATTTTGACCCATACCCATATCCCGTTGATGAATACTGAGCGTCCCATTTTAGAGGGCGACCCTCGCTTTTGGGGGACAATACGCAAATCCGGGGTTGAACCTGGGCTCGACATCACCCAGCGACCAAGGGGCAGGGTTGTTTAAACATACGCTCGCCTCGGGCCTCAGGGCTGGGAAGCCGTCACACCCGTATTTAGATCATAGGGATCCTCCCGAACATCCCCAACCCTGCGATTCTGCTGACTCCAAAACCCATGCTCCAGCTGCCCTGAAGCGAGCCCCCCAATTCCTGCGGCTTTCGCCTAGCCCAGCCCCTCGCCCCCCGACTCAGCCAACTCAGTCCATCTGCGCCCGCACAGTCAGGCCCAAGCCCCACAACTCAGCTAGCTCTTGCCATCCCCTCGCGCGCGCCTGACGCACACACACACACACACACACACACACACACACACACACAGCTTTGCGCAGCCGCGCACATTCGCCCAATGGGCCAGCTGAACCATGGATGTAGCTCAGCCCTCGCCAAGCCTCATGGCTTGGCTCGGCTGGCATTCTGGCCTTCATTCAGCTTGCCCCTGTTGCTTCCGGCCCACGGCCAAGGCTCAGGCCGGGCTCAAAACGATTTCTGCCCAACCTGCAAGGATTGGGGGCTTGAAAGGAAAACCAAAGCAGCATCATTGAACAAGTCTCCGTTGTGGTCCCCTTTGCGGATTCCATGTGTGAGCAGGAACGAGCCTTGTGAAGGCAAGATTGGTACAGCAAGAGGCGAATACATGGCGTGTAGTTTCTGCAGCCTCCGGATAGTGAAACTAGGATGGCCGGCCAGTAATCCTACGTGAGGCAGTAGCATGAAGCAACTGGAAGAGCGGCACTGCTTCGCTCAGCAGAAGGAATTGCACGAACGAGCGGTTGAAGTTTGTGTTTCGTTTGTGTAACGATTAAATATATATATATATATATATATGTTCCAGGCTTCCTTGGCCCCCCCCACCACCCCCCCCCAATGGTCATGCTCAGTCGGGAAGGTAGCACAGTGTGACCCTACAAGCCCCCCGCCCCCCTGTGGGATGGGTGGGGGGGTCCATGGTTCCCACCCCCCCCGCCCCCCTGTGGGAATGGGGGGTGGGGAGAATGGTGGCACAGTGTGACCGCAAAGCCCCCCGCAACCATGGTTCCCACACCGCCCGCTGGGGTAGCAAGTAAAGTGCGTTTGCCGCTGGCGCGTTGCAGCGCACTTGGTTGGCACTTGGTTGTGGCGCTGCAAACCACAAACTGCGTCGTGGCATCGCGCAATGTCAATTGCGACACGCTGCAACTTGTCGCGTGCTGCAAAATGAGCAAATCGCATTGCAGCGCATCACACGAACAGCGCCGCAAACGCGCCCACAACGTCGCGCGCACACTGGAGCAAGCCGCCCCACAAGCCCCCCCCTTTTTGTGTGGGGGGCGGGGGGGGGGCCAGGGTCCCCCCCCCCGATGGACCCATACCATTGGGGGGGGGGGGGCTGGGGACGACGGGCGACGGGAACATATATATATATATATATATATATAGGCCTCTCAGTGGTGACACATTCATCTAAAGCATGGGAACAGCCATAGGTGTCAATACTAGGGAAGCTTGTAGCAAACCAAAACGAGACCGGGCATTCGCAAGCTTCCGTTCTGGCAAGAACCTGGGCATGAAAACTCTGATTGGTTCACAAGTCTGGCGTACCAAGACTCACAAAACTTGTCCCAAGTCTTAGACAATCCTTCTGCGACCTTGACTGAAATGGACTGACGTGTGAAAGCCGAAAAAAAGGTTAAGCCAAACATTCGGAAGCCCAAACCGGGCCGAAACTGGGGAAACATGCTCAGGAGAGCAAAGGAGAGCACCGAGGGAAGGATTAAGGAGAGGGAGGGTAAATTTAAACTTAGATAATTCAGCTTGGTTGACAAATTGGGAGGTGTCTCATCCAACAGTGAAGGGTTCCGTCTCGAAAAGGGACGCGCCCCCCTTGTCCTTATCCAAGGTTCAGTCATGAGCATTTTGGTTTCCAAGCAAAATCATGTCCGCAAATCTTCGTCCTGGCTGCAAACCTCCACGTCCTTTTGCCTCATATCCATCTCTGCTTTCGGCTCAGCTTTGGTTTCGAGTGTGCCGTCGGCTTGAGCCAAGCGCCCACGGAAAAGGCGGCGCTGCTTCGGGTCGTCAGCACCTTGCGCTTGCGGGGTCTACAGCGCTCCTTAGAATCACCCAATCACCCCCCCCCAAACCCCCAAAGTTCGGGTGTCGACTTGGTACCAGTGAAGGGGGGGTCAAAGGAAAACCAAAGGTAAACCACTCATTCAAGACAAAGCTACTTGGGGTTCATCAAATCAGTGACTCGCGGCAGCGCAAGCCCGCCGCCGGTTCTACGTGGCCCAAAACAACGCTTTTTGCGCACCCCCTCCCCCCTAAAAGCATGAATCGGCGCGGCTTGCAAAAATCTCGTGACTCGTCCGGCCCACAACAAGAACGCAAGTGGAAACGATCCTGACACCCGGGGCTGCGGACTTCCGGTCAAAGCAAGCGCAGAACAAGTGGCCTCGGCACGGCCGAGGTCTCACTGGCCGGGCCCGCGAAAGCTGATCCACCCGAAAATCCCCAAAGGTTGGAAAGGGCATCGGAGAGCTCAGGTTTTGGGAAGAGACCTGAACCACAAACCATCCCACCCACAAATGAGAGGTTTGGGGGCTGGGGAAGGGAGGGGGTCGGCGCTAGTCCTGGACATGGTAGTGACCATGTCCACTGGGACCACACCCTGAACCAAGCTCAAACCAACCCTGAACCACCACAATCCCACCCTGGGGGAGCGGCGCCAGGGAAGGCTGGATCTTTTCTATATATACAGATTAAAGTGTTTGTGTTCGTGCTCGTGTCTCCTTCCCCGTTCCGTTTCAGGGATCGCATAGTATTGCAAACCAGCACATTCGACTCAGCCAACCTGTTCACTGAAATAAACGCAGTATAGCTTTTGACGAAAAAATGCGCGCAACAAAATCAAAAAAGCTGTACATGTAAATCTGCCTTCACCTGAACAGAAACAGCGGAACCTGCTCCGAAAGCTACGCATCCTTCTCACGTCAGTCAACGTTGTTGACCATGTCTAGAAGCCTGAGTCATTAGAGAGCTTTGGCCATACCACTTAAGAGAGTTCGGTGCACGTTGTCGCATCACGGCCTCCGCTTGAGGATGCGACAAAGCACCATGTCATCGGGATGATCTGCCTTCGACTCTGTCACTGTTCCCACGGTGTCCTGAGCAACTCGCTGGTGACGCCTGGTATTTCTCGAGAGCGGGGCCTAAACTTGCCACCGAAAAAGCGGCTTTCAGCATCAGGCTTCGCAATCGAAAGTAGAAAAAACTAAATAAAAGCGCCGAAACATAGAAGATGATGGGCTCTCCTTTTGACTTTCCTTGGGTTCCTTTCAATGGGTGTGTGAGTGTGTGTTCGTGTTTTGAACACCTTTCGGGCTGGCTGAAAACGAAACCAAGAGGAAAACCTCCCAGTTTTTTTGAACACCATACGAAAGAGGCATAATGTGTTGAACGACACACCCCAGACTTGTTTTGGAGCAGCCCGGCGGTCTCAAAGTTTGTAGCACAGCTGATTGAATGAGGTCCAAGCTTACGTCGAAACTAGGATGCCATCTGAAGCGTCTTACAGAGAGCCAACCCATTCTTGCAGCTTCCCGAAGTTGACACCAGCGCCTCTGTTTGTTGACTTTGCTGTCACATGCGAATTGCTGGCATGGCAAGTCCCCGCTCTCGCAAAGATTCGCCTTCCAGCCTATCTGTGCCCTGAGAAGCGAGCCACGGTAAATATTCGTCGTTTTCCGAAGCGAAAAATGGAGTTTGGTGAGTAAACCTTGTTCAGTGGTAATTTGGTGAGCTTGTCTGCCCTTGCTTTGGTGCACCTGATTTGGGTCTGGCTCAAAAGAGGTAATCCCTTGCGAAGCGCTCAGTTCATTCAACCGGATACCAACCACCAGACAAAAACATCCAATTTTGAGAAACACCCATGAATCTGAACAAAAAAACTACAAAAACCCGAGGCCTGATCAAAAACCCAGCTCTGAAGAACCCTCAATGCGATGAACCCTGACGCCGTCGGATCTCCCCAGTCCTCATTGAGCCAGGGGTCCTGGCTGCGCCACATGGGGGGGGTCCCTTACAATGGCGCGCCCCTTTCTTAGGTGTTGTTCAAGGGAAACCTAGAGGAAACACCCTGGCATGGGGTCCCCCTATTTTGAGAAGCACGCACACACACACACACATCAACCCCCGAAGGAGAGATCTCATCTTTCGAGTGCAACCTGTAAGCTTTGAGTGGGTGGGTTTCGAGTACAACTGAAGGATGCAACCGGAATCATGCAAACAATCTCAACAGGCAAACACCAAAGCAACGTCAAAATAGGTGAAACGCAGGTACAGGTTCACGCGTCCGTGAACCCTTCCACCCGTCTTCCGTAGCTTCGTTGGGCAACGTAGGAAGACGGGTCGTTGCCCCCCTGCTGAAAAACATAGTCACGACAAGAAAAGTGGTGTCAGGGTGAATCTGACACTCCGCACACACACGCCCCTCCTTTTCACGAAAAGTCCTGAGCGGCGTGGTCATCGGGAGGAATCCCGACCTGCACGAACATGCTCAGAAGACGGGGTCCAAGGATCGCCGTGGTGTAAATAGAGGTCACGCAAGAAGTAGTCACCTGCGTCCGGGATGGCAGGACCAACTCAGAGCGATCACAATTGTCCATCACGGGCTGGAAACTGCTGGTGAGATTGATGAAGGAGCTGCCGACACCCTGCTTGTTTTCTGAGTCATCGTTGAGACCGTCGAGGTGACTCCATGGTGTCCTGAGCGCCGATCTGGTGCGCGTGAAGAGCAAAGCACTCTTCGGAAAGAATGCGTTGGAAACCTTGACAATGCCCATCCTGGATGGTCCAAGCCTCGTAATGTTCTGTCCGGGCATCTTGTTGAAGTTCTCTGTCAGGGCCCGGCAGCGCATCACCTTCAGGTAGCACAGGTTCCCACACCCTATCTGTGTTGCTGGGCAGAAACGGTATGGCATCACTTTGGTACCAAGTCTGCACTTCTCCAGGCATGAAGATCTTGACCCATTCTTGACCGTGCCATTGTGAATACTCCAGCCAAGGTTGCCGGCCGAGATGATGATCACAAACACTCAGAGGCTCAGAACGTGAAGGCCTGCTGCTACGCCAATGTCTCAACAGCTGAAGCAACCAACAGCAAGGAACAATGCAAGAAAACAAGGTACTCCAAACACCGATCAAGCCGAGTGCAAAAAGCAGAAACCTTTTTATCAGCCATGTACACAATGAGTCACTCCAGGGCGCAACCGTTGAAGTGGCGGTGGAGGTGGCGGCGGGGGAGTGGTACCTCGGTTGGTACATCCCGCAAATCGAGCGTAGGAGGCGGGGGCGGTGGGAGAAGAGGTTGAAGCGCATCCGCTTCATGCGCTGGTCCAGGATGTCTCCCATGAGTCCAAGTAACAAGAGTCTGAACACTTTGACCCATCATATCTGCAAGCGCAAGCAAGCAAACCAAGCAAGGCGAGACAAGCAAAAGCACAACTGGACGTTTTCTTCCATGCTATGTACTACGCGACCAGCTTCTAGTATATTTTCCAGCAATCGTAGACCTGAGTTTCCACCCGCCATCTTCGCTGCGCACACAGTCGTGAAAGTGAGACGCCGCAATATCTGCATATGTGCCGCCTTTGCGCACCAAGCAGTGGTCCTGTCTGATGCGAGCCGCGCCGCCTATGCAAAAGGGTCTGGTCGCCCGAATTCCACCGAACAGCGCAGCCGGTCGCCGCACGGTTGCTTTCCAAGCTGCCCCTCCAATAGAACCCCAATGGAGGAATCCACACATCATTCGTCATCATTCGGGGAAACCAGCCATTTGGATGGCCGAAGGAGCTCGTCCTGCTTCAAGATGTTGCTGACTGCCCTGATGTCAGTGTTGTGCGCCCAGTCGAATGGTTTCTGGGCAGTGTCCGTCTCGACTTGAAATGGAAGAAAATGCCGCACTGATTGCCGTAGAAGTCCTTCAAAACGCTGGAAGTCCATACGAGTACGTTGCATGTAGGGCCAGCATTGTTCCAACAGTCCCAACTGCACGCTGCTCCGGCAAGCCCCTGACGCGAATGTCAAACTCAAGGGCGATGGCATCCAGGACGTCATAAGTCCAACTCCCTGTTGTACCATCCGGGAGAAGCGAAGGATCAAACTCCGATATGGCGTGCACCCGATTAGAGTCCTCAAGAACCTCCACACGAAAGGGCACAAGGCTGCGGTATAAGGTCTCCCAAAACTTCTTCCAGTTTCCATCTGCCTGAAAATCAAGTTAGCAATGCTGGGCAGCATGAAATACTGGATGTCATTGATGCGGACCGCAATCTCCCGAATTTCATGCCCAGACCTCAAGGTAAACACATGGCTTCCCAAAGCCGGGAGTGTCGTAGCACGTCGCAGCGCAAGAAGTTCAACTCAGCTGCTGCCATCCTGGCGAGTTTCGGCGGTCGATTGGGAACGGCAGGGCGGCGATCGTCACGAGAATCACGGTTGTAGCTTGTCCAATGTCCCCAGTTGTCATCATCATCGGTGTCGACATGGTGTCCGGAGGGTGCCGGTGCGAAGCGCACATTCTGGCAGCGTGGCGTAGGCTACCTGGATCTGGAACACTCCCTCGTCCTGGTTGACCTGTCCCGAGCGTGTGTCGCGCGCTGCGACGAGTGCGAGAGTGAGATGATGCAGAGGCATGCTGAAGAACGTAGTCACGGTGAGTTTCACCATGGGCCTGAGCAAAAAGCTGAACATCAATGCCACTGATGAATGACGGGAATTGTTCCAAAGTGACCTGACTCGTCGTATCTGGATGCAGCAGGTTGTTGACCGCGATCACCGCTGGAGCTTGCGCTGGCCGACGGGATCCTACGTCAAGATGTAGGTCATGAAATCAGAAGCACAAGGCACGATCCGGAGCCAAACTTGCGAATGTACACTCAAGAAACAAACACAAACAAAGACAAGCGACACAAGCCAAGCACAAGCGCAAAGCAACGCAAAACCATCAACACCGCAGCTGACGCAGCGCTTTGCGTCTCACGTCTCGAAGTTTTTCAGGATTGAAGCCTTTGGCTTCGTAAAGCTTTTTAAGTGCACGCAGACCAACTTGTTGTTGGACAGGAGGCCCCGCGGATAATTACCCA